CTTCCCAGGTTGGTGCTGAATATGATAATCGTAGTTCTGAAGGCGAAGTGCCCACCGAGCGAGTCGACCGGTTGGATCTTGCAGACGGTGTAGCCACATAAGAGAATGATGGTCCGTAATCACCATAAATTTTTAGTTCCTTCAATATAGGGTCTAAACTTTTCAATTGCCCAAATGACTGCTAAGCATTCCAACTCAGTTGCGGAGAGTTATTGTTCGGCTCGTGTCAGAGCTCTGCTAGTATAAGCAATTACTTTCTCCCCTTCTTCGAGTTCCTGCAACAAAATTGCGCCTAATCCAACAGAAGAGGCATCTGTCTGTACAGTGAACGGTTTTGTAAAATCTGGGCAGGCTAAAACCGGTGCTTCTACCAATTTCGTTTTGATGTCAAAGAAAGCATCTTCTTGTTCAGGGCCCCAGGTCCACTTCTGACCTTTGGGCAGAAGATGCATCAGTGGTGCTTCCAACCTGTAAACGCTCGAATTTGATGAATTGTTTTTGGACGAGAATAATTTAGAATACTAGCCACCTTTTCCAGATCTACGAGTAATCCATGCTTGTCTACAAGGTACCCAAGATACTTAAGTTCCTCGTGAGGGAACTTAAACTTTTCTTGGTTTAGTGTAAGGCCAGCATTGTTAATCCGCTCTAAAACCATTTTTAGAACATCAAGGTGCAGCTGAAAATCTGGTGTTACTATCACAACGTTGTCCAAATACACAAAAACATATGGTTCCAGTTCAGACCCAAGCACCTGATCTATCAGTCTTTGCCAAGTAGCTGGAGCGGCATTGTGAAGGCCGAAGGGCATCCTGTTAAATTGAAACAATCCACGACCAGGTACCGTAAACGCCGTCTTCTCTTTGCTTTCTTCAGACAGGCCAATCTGCCAATATGCTGATTTTAAATCCAGAGTGCTGAGATACTTTTGCATTTCTTAGGCGGTCTAATATCGTTGATAAGTAAGGTAATCGGTACACATCTTTCTTCGAGACCACATTCAAGCGTCTGAAGTCTTCGCAGAACCTGTATGATTTATTCGGTTTTCAGACCATTACAATGGGTGAAGACTATACCCATCGCGATAATCTCATCTAATTCTTTATACATTTCTCTGAGAACTGCATACGGGATAGTAACGTTGTTTAATTGGTGGATGATCACCAGTATCTATTTTATGAGTATAGTTCTTCACACATCCAATCTTCGGCCCTTCTCGATACATATACTTACAGAGAAATTCTTGAAGCTGCACCCTTTCGAAATCTCTTAGCGATTGCTAAGAAACTAATGGACTTGCTAAATGACAATCACCTGTATTGGTGGGATCTTTGAACTTCCAAATATCATTACTTAAGTCTGGGACGACCCCCATTGATTTCCAAAAATCTACTCCAAGAATTAAAGGTATAGTTAGATCAGGAGCCACTAACGTTGTTAATTACCCTAACTCTATTTTCTAACATAAAGGGTATGGTAACTTCAACTGAAACGGAGCATCCTTGACCGTTCGGAACCACAATGTTTCTAACATTAGACAGTGTCATGTGCAACTGACCTTTAATAAGTTCCCAACCAGGTCTACCCAAAATCGTACGGGAAGCACCTGAGTCCAGTAAGCCCATCATGGAGCGTTCAAATATGTTTACAAGCAAATACGATCGTTGATCCTGAGAACCAGATTGGCTGAGTTTATATCTCTCAGCCCACGCCTCAAATGCAGCTAACATCTCTTCACGGGTTTCATCAGGATACCCCACATCAGGCAGAGAGGTGTGGGATAAACTTAGTTCCCCTTTGCTTCTCCGTTTCCCGTCTTTGTGGCATTACTTGTTCTTCGATTCCTGCACTGCTCACACTTGTATATTTTGATGCCATTTTCACCGCAACCATTACAGAAAACACGTCGAGATTCCTTGCAATCTCGAAAACGGTGGCCTTGTTGATTACAGTTCCAGCAAACCGTATTACAGACTGTTGGACTGTTTCTCTTGCTCAATAGTATCCACCTCAACATCTGAAGTAATTTATAGCGACCCATCCGTATTAAGAGGAGCGATTTCTCTGAAGTTCCTACCTTGATTTCGATGGTACCCCAAATCAGGCTCTAACAAACCGCTGTTAGGTTCCCTAAATCTTGTGGCGAGTACTCGGCCCAAAGATAACTTCCCAAATATCTCTTCCAGGCCCAACATCGTAAAGTATTCAGACCTTAAATTCCTTTCAATTATGGCCATTTGTTCTCTCTCGGTCATCTGTGTCGACAGCTGGCCCGCAACCTAATTTTTGCTATAAATAAAGCTAGTGACTCACTAACGCCCTGCCTCCGATGGAGTATCTCGTTCATCAACAATCTGTCGTAATCAGGGTCCCTGAATGCCTGCTTAAGTCGAGTAACTGCTTCATCCCAATTGGAACACCGATTTCGATTCATTCGGAACCAGATTAATGCTGATCTGGTGAAAAGGTCCCCTGCTACTTGAAATAATTCTTCTGGGCTAACCCCTCAAGCTATTCTTCGCTCTTCTACTTCCTCTAAGAATGAACTTTAAGAAGGACCCGATGAGTCACCTGAGAACTTTAAATCCCATTTATATGCTTTTATATCCCTAACGGGTTCTACTTTAAATGGCGGATCTGAAGTTCGGGATGTAGTTACAATATCTGTTGTGGTTAGAGACGGTAGTGTAATCACGGGTTTCTTTTCCCAAAGTTCGGCTATTAAAAATGTAACCCAATCACCCTGCCGCTTCCACCGCTCTTGTAACTCTGGTGCAACAACTAACCATCCTAAGCGACTATGAAGATGCCCCACCCGTGTGTCTAGATACCTAAACTTCAGAACATCACCTATCGTGAGCTCCTCTAAACCTTCAGCCAGTGCTGCAAATTTTCCCGTACAAATATCCAATTCTTCCTGCAAATTTAATGAAGTAAAATTTCTTCGAGTGGTTGAACGTTTTCAGTAAATGCTTTCACGAGTCTCTTCCTCAGATCATTAGCATCGCCTACATCGGAAAGCCCCCAAATTTGAAGTTCATAAGCCAACTCATCTTTTAATAGCTTTGTCGCTTTGCCCAACATAACTTCCAAGATGTGACACTTTCTTCTGCTCATCTCAAGCTCCTTGGGAGATCCTCTCTCTTGTAATTTCAAACAACTTCGAAGATGGTAATACAATTACTGGGTTTTACCCACTGGAGCCAGGATCCCTTTTCCTATTCACTGCAGCCACACAACAATTGCTTGCCAAAACAAAAATCTTTTTTTCTTCCCTGTTTGGGATTTTCCTTTTTGTGGAAACTGCAGAGCAGCCATTCTCTTTTCCCTGAACTAGTGAAACTAGATTAGCTTTCTTTTTAACTATTACATTAATTTATTAAATCATTTTTAACAACTTTAATTTAAGGTATATATATTACAATATATATATATATATATATATATATATATCACAACATCTCACAACTCAGCGATTGCCATGGTGAAAATCCACGAATTACGGTTTACTCTGTTCTATGAGCACAATGTTAAGATAAGGGAACATAAAGAAATCGCTTAGGGCTAGATCTGGTGAGTAAGGCGGATGGTCTAGCAGTTCAAACCGTAATTCGTGGATTTTCACCATGGCAACCGCTGAGGTGCGTTGTGTTGGTGAAACAGGATTTTCTTTTTCTGCAAATGTGGCCGTTTTTCCTCAAGTTCTGTCTTCAGCTTGTAATGGTTTTTCTTTTTTGATGATAGTCGATTAAAATAACACCATGTCTATCCCAAAAAACCAAGCCATCACTTTCACCACATCACATTCAAATCAACCAAAAGTAAGCCATCACTTTCCCAGCCGAGAAAAGCAAAACAGTTTTTGCCTTTTTTGGAGCCGGTTCCCCCTTTGCAGTCTACTGTTTGGTCTGTATTTTGGTTTCGGCATATAATGGTGTATCCAAGTTTCATCTGCAGTAATTAATCGGTGCCAAAACTCGGATTTATTGTGCCAACAGAGCGTTGGAAATGTTCATTCGAACACATTTTTGGTCTAACCCTAGCAAACGCGGCACCCAATGTGTGGACAGCTTTCTCATATCTAAATGTATATCTATATATATAAAAATGAATGTATGTCTGTTTGTCAGTCTGTTTGTCCTTAGTGCATTACTAAACCATTCAACCGATCGCCACGAAACTTTGGGAAGTTGTTCCGTACACTCCTGGGAAGGTTTCTGGCATAGTACTTCTGTCTTACGATAATTTTATATAGGTAAAAAAAATAAAAATGTAAATGTTTTTCTGTTCAAAGCCGCAAAAAATGTGTCGCTATAAACTGTAGCGCCAAAACGGCTTTACCGATTTTAACGAAACTTGGCTAAAGTCTTCCCCTTGAAACCCTTTTAATTTATGTGTATAACATACTTTCCCGAAAACAAGCTGAAAAATGTTACGATGAATTCAATATTTTATTTGACGATAACTAAAAAAGTACACAATTTTTGACTGATAATACCCACATTTATTTGAAAGATTCCTGATTTGCGGACAAAATAAAAAAAAAGAATCATCGAAATCTTACTGTTCGTTGCAGAGTTATTGAGTTTTAAACATTTACTGCTTTCTCTTCAGAAAAGGCCGTTTCCTTTTGCTTCCTCACTACCGAACGTCGGCAAGTATTTTTTTTTTATTGATTAAAAAAATTTTGATGATATCGAAAATTTTATAATTACTACAGTAATTGAAATTATCATTTGAAGAATTTATATGATTCTCCTTATGTAGGTCAATACTATTATACATTTTTTAATTTAGTTTTTTAAGTTCAACTCAGACTGTTTCTGATTATGAATGATTGATCCAGATTTTTTCTTGATATCATTAAACATATAGATCCCCAAATTATTAATATTCCTTTAATAAGAAAAGGACTTTTCATTTTAAAAAATGAGAAAAGTTTGTTTATTCCATTTTTTGTTTATTATAGTAATAGTAATATCATACTTTCATGTTTTTAGACATTAGAGTCAAACCAACGTAGGAAAGATTTGTACCAGGCATTAACAACTAATATGTCTGATTTATTTATGTTTTTTCGTGGACTCATTGGAAATCATTATGAACAATATCGCTCAAATCTTGAACTTGGAAATGTAGCTATGGCAAACTCACATGCCAGGGTTGTACAGGTATTGTCTAAACGTCTATCTTTCATGTATTTAATTTAATTTAATATTTATTTTTTAATTTTTATTATTGTTCTATTAATAAATGTTATAGGTTGTATTACTTACTTTAAGCGGTTTCGTTGAGTGGGTTTCCATGAGCCATATTATGGCTGAGGATGGCAAATTACTCCAGATTTTTTGTGTTTTATTAAATGATGAAAACTTTCAAGACGGGTCTGCTGAATGTTTGCTTCAGGTAATAATTTTTCTTTAACCTTTACATGCCATTGTTCCAGTAGTGGAACATATATTAAACAATTTTTTTGGCCAACTTAATCATTATTTTTTTGCAAAAACAATTTTTTCCTATCAAAGTAAAGACTGGAATAATTTTTTTAAATATTTTCAATGAAGATTTTATCACTTTTAGTTCAGTCAATAAAAAGTTAAAGTTTCTGATTTTTCAGTGTCGAGAGGTGTATTGATTATTTTTTTGTTTTAATACTACAGACATGAAATTTAATTTGAATATTGATTTAATTGATTGTGATAGATTACTGAAAATAATGCATTGTAGAATATGTAAATAAAAAAATTCTAAGAATCAGTTTTACTAATTTTAATTTTAATGTTCCACTTATGGGACACGGAAATTCATAGAACTACTAATTGCTATTCTAAGATTTTCAATTTTTTGTATAATTTCTTAACATAGAGAAAAACTACATACTTTTTTTTTAGTTTCTTAGAACATATATTATTGGCAATACTATGCCAAACATCCTTTGATGTTATTTTTTCCAGTCATTACTGTGTTCTTGACAGCATCGTTTTTCTGACTCACTTTTTATTATAATTAATTATTTTATTCGTGACTTTTTTTTCTATCATCAATAATTAAAAATGGAAAAAATATTTTGTACCATGGAAGATGCAGCGGAAAATTTGAATTATCTAAAATCTAAAGTCGTTCCCGATGGTGAATCGGGAAATAACCTTAATGAAGAAATTGATATATGCCAGCTTCCTCCTGACGAAAACGAATGCCTTACAGGCGAAGAAGACATTGACGAGAATTGTTTGGAACAAGTCATTCCCGAAGATATTTGTGGGCAAGTTGCATTATTTATTTAAAAAAATACTGATGATAATTCATAATAAGTTGGTGTATTTGGTGACTGTGACTATGGCGCTAATGCAGGCTTTATCCCGGAAAGATGATCCACGGACAGGACCGAAGACTTCCATCCCTCCTCGTTGGCGAAAGCAGGTGGACATTACTTAATTTCGGCTTCCCGAGGAAGGTATCTTCTTTGAGCCACCAACTCAAAATATCAATGTGAAACGCATTCATATTGATTGTTTTTCTGTATATCACGGATTGTTGATCGTATATTAACATAACTTTTACTTTTTATTCCGTTTTCTTACTTACATATTTTCTATTATTTTACAAACAATTACAATGTTTCACCATAATATAATAATAATTTGTTATCAATGTTAATAAAAACAACACTATTCTTGTATTGAATATTTTAATGAAACTATTAAGAAAAAAGATTTTTTTCTTTGTATAACCTGAACCTGCTATTGTTCCACTTCTGGAACAAGTTGGAAAACGACAAAAGAAATTTTTTTTAAGACTTTTTAGAAAATATCAAAACTAAACCATACTGAGACTAATATTACAGAAAAAAAAAATTGTCTAATGGTATTAGGGGGTTGGCATGTAAATGGTTAATGATGGTAATATTTAATGGTACTTATATTGTTGTGGTAATAGAGGTTTGGAAATTTTGAATTACTGAGGTCATATTTTAATTAGTGAAAAAATAACTTAAATTGAAGAGGATTTAAGATATTAAGTGGTCGGTGAGTTAAGGCGCCTGCAAAAATTTTATGCTATGAGTTGAAATCCTGTTCGTGGGATTAAATAAAAAAGATAAAAATATAAATAATTAATAATAAATAAATAATTGCAGTCCCTGCTGAATTGCTTAGACCGACAACTACAGCACGGGTTCGATTCCCATATGGGAGCAACCCCTGTGTCTAATAACATAGTTCCTTTGGTCCTCCAGATTTGGGAGTTGGGCCTATCCCTTAAGAAACAGCAGGATAGATACATATGCATAAGATTGCCAACTATCCTGATGTTATTATAAACCACGTGCTCCCTGGATATCATCTATATAAGAAGAGAACCAAATGATTGCAACTTATCGCCTAGAACAGCCCCAATGCTGTGAGAGGACTAATGGCAGAAGTCAAAAGAGTCAAGAAGCGTTAAGTTTAAACATTGTATTTTAGAACAGAATTAATAGTTATGTTAAGAAAAAAAAATGTATCCTAAGTTAAATAACTTTAGAGAAGTGTTGTAATAAACTTATTAATTCTGTGTTATCAAAGAATTTGAATTATTAAAAGCAGTCTGTACATCATAGCTCAGTGTTTGTTTTTGATTAATTGTTATTTTGTATTAAAATAATTTTTGTATGTTGATTTTAGATTGTATTGAGAAAAGGTAAACTTGATGAAAGAAGACCTTTGTTGATATTATTTAGTGAAGATGCAATGAGATGTATTTTTCAATCAGCTGAGAACAAGAATTATCAGTTTTTAAAAAAACTTACTCGTGTAAGTATTTGAGTGAAATTAATATTTTTATGGTACATCTTTAAGTATGTATGTAGTTAATGATTATTTTATAAAATATTGTACTAGCTTTAATTTTCATTTTCTTAATTTCAAGGTGTTGACAGGACTGGGAACACAACTGTGTTCACTTTGGAGTAAAGATGGTCAGTCGTGTCCTCCTAATTTTCAAATTTATTTAGAAGCTATTGTCACTTTTACTCGCCATCCTTCTCTAAGTCTTGTCTGCTATGCCAATTCCCTTTGGCTTGCTTTGATGAAGCATGATCAAATATGTCGAGATGAAGTGTTTCTCAGTTTTGTTCCAAAGTGGGTTGAAGCAGCTGGGCCTAAAATTATGAAGGTATGTTCTATTAGTGATCAAACCTAATATATTAGCTAACTTTCTTGTGTATTTTTTCTATAAAGTTTATTAATTAGTTGATTCGTATGTGTAAATCATTGTTTCATTCAGTAATTCTATAAATATTGTATTATGTTTGCTTTAATTACCATTTGTTTTTTCAAATTTTAAAAAATGTTTTAATAATTTATGATGTGCCATAAAGATATTAACATTTCTTTCAATCTTGTTTGTAACTATTAAAGTAAGTCAGTAAACTTAGTAACTAATTTTGCTTCTTCGCTACCAAAGGTAGCGAAGTTTTACATTTGTGCAAGTGGTTAAAAAACTTTTAAGCTTAGAATCGAAAATTCCCACATGGTTGTAACATTTTAGACATCAAAGAACAATACTACCTACTACCATTGATTCAATTTTCAGAGATTATATGGATCGATAAATAGCTGGTTCCATATTAATATCCTCGAATTTTATTCACTACTGTGCCAATGTACCCGTATATGTGTTTTCTTAGACAAGACTATATTTGAAAAATCAGTTTTTGGCTGTTAAATTAGATCTAGGAAACTGAAGTTCTATATTCGTATCGTTCCGTCTTTGTTAGTTTGTTATGTGCTTATTATCTCAAATCCTGTTCTCAGACTTTGTAAACAGTGAGTTTATAAACAATTTAACATTTTTACAAGTTCAAAATTAAGTTCAAAATTTACTTAACATGACAGAAAAACTTACTACTTCTGACAAATCACTATGGTTGACCACTAAAAAGTTCCTTAAATTCAAAGATTTTAACCACCCACTTATTACTGAAACCCAAACCTTCTCCAGATCTGATAAAGAAAAATCTCAAATATTTGCTCAAAAGAAAAATCTCAAATATTTGCTCAGCACCTCTCAAAAACATTTAATCCACATCCAGATATCCTTAATCCAACCCACCTTGAGTTTATTGAAGCAGAATTGGATATCCCACTCCAACTGTGGGACTGTTACTATGGTAGAAATAATAAAAAATAAAAGTATTTATAAAGAAGAGAAGAATAGTTGGGGTGGTCAGTCAAAAAAGAAGGCAAAAATAAATGATAATATTTATTTTTACATATGCCGATGTTTCGACCTGTAGTTCAGGCCTTCATCAGGGCTAAGAAAATAACCAGATAACAAGGTATGAGAAACATAAGTAGTGATGGTAAAATAAAAAAAAAAAAAAAAATAAATATAAAGTAAAATGAAATTGTTAGAATAATGACTAAGAACTAAGAGATAAATAATAATAACCGTTACAAAGTGTGGAATGATGAAGTAGGCATAATCAAAAAGGGTGACATAAGTGTTACAATGGGAATCTTAGAATAAAATGTAAAACATAAAAAAGAAATATGAAGTTATATAAGAAATGAAAATAAATAGTAAAATTAAGACATTGAGAATGGAGTAGTTAGATAGAAAATTGAGATATTGTAAAGTCTATCAAGATGTACAGACAATGTATAATATAATAAAGAGTTAAAAACAGAGGAAAGGAAAGAGGGAAGAAATTGAGAAAGCTGAAATAAGAAATAAATAAAAGAAGTACTACCTGTCTCCTTAAGTGTTGCAGGGAGAATAAAAGTCGTTGCAAGGAAGGGGAGAGAGAAGAGATGTGTAGGTGGCGTCATCTTTAACGGTTATCCGACGAAGTTTGAACTAAAGCACCGGAAGCGTAAATAGATACGAGAGATATATTACTCAGAAATATTATGGAAAATTGAACGAATGTTAATAGAAAGAACACACACACACACACATATATATATATATAGTAACGTTCCTCTTTCCTTCCAAAATCAAACAACGAGTTTCCTTTTTCAATATACTATTTATTTTAACACATAACATAAATTCTCAGGTTGGGTTCTGACAACTGAACACTCATTCAACATTAAATAACTATAATCTACACTAATTTACTAATTACTAACAACACTTATATATAATTTAAAATATTTTATAAAATAATTTGTCCCGGTCTAAACTTTTGGTTCTATCCCTCTGTCACATAAATGGCATTGTTAGCACTCACCCAAATGTTTATGCCTGTCAGTGAAATAATCTCTTCTTACTTACTAATGTCCCATTTTCTGTACCACTTAATTCTTTTCTGCTATGTTTTTTTCTTCCAACATAAAATAATCTCCACTAGTGGCCTTTATCAACACTCGAACCGGCTAGGACTCCTTTTTCACTTTCTCAGCTTGCTGGCTAGCACCTTCTCTCTTGACAGCTTGTCACCTTCTCTCTTGACAGCTTGTCACATTCTCTCTTGGCGGCTCATAATCTTCTGTCCTGGCGGACGGTCACATTCTGAGTTACATGAGGCTTGCTTCCCCCACCATCCGCACGCACTTCCTCCCCGTAGTTCGTGCTGTTACCACTTTCACCCCAATATTCAAATGCCATGTAATGTTGACATTACAATATATAAGGAAGTTGTCAGCAAAAAGAAAAGGAACTATGTATATTTTAATAAATTCAGAATTTGGAAGTAGGCTAAAGAAAAGTTCTGTTTGTCAGCTCTTAGATTCACTGTCTTTGGTTGAAGCTGGATGTGGAGGGTTTCAGAAATGAGTCGTTTGTCATGGTTGAGAACTGTGGCAAGGATGAATGTTTTGTCGAAATCAAATGAATGATTGAGGGAGAGAGAATGTTCGGATAATTTGGAGGCGGTAAAATTACGAGAGGATACAGAATATTTATGTTGGGTTATGCGGTCTTTTAGGAAATTTTTGGTTTCACCAATATAGGATGAAAAACAATTGCGGGTAGAACATGGAATACGGTAAACGATATGAGAGAGGAACAGAATCTTTTAGGGATGTGTATAATTTAGAGTGTGTTGTTGTGTTGTGAGATTTGAATGCAAGTTAGGGTTAGTAGATCGTAAAACTTTGTTGATGTTGTCTGAAAGGTTAGGAATATAAGATAGAGATCTGTATATATCTGAAAGGTTAGGAATATAAGATAGAGATCTGTATATAGGAGCTGAAATAGGTTGTGGAGAATTAGTGGAAGTTGAGATTAAGGAAGAGCGGTTATTGTGGTCTGTTATAAGTTTGTTAATGACATGGAGATGAAAATTATTGTTTGACAGGATCTGTTTTATGCGTTTGATATTGGTAACATGAAATTGGGGATCAGAGAGGGAGAGACTAAGGTGGATGAGATTTTTCGCAACGTTAATTTTTTGGTGGTAGGGATGTTAAGAATGGAAATGTAGGAGTCTGCCAGTGTAAGTTGGTTTAGTGTACCAGTCTGTGGATATGGTATTATTGGGATTTTTAATGATTAGAAGGTCGAGAAAAGGGAGAGAATTATTGAGTTCACGTTGTACTGTAAAACTGTAGGAGATAAGGTTTCTGTAAGTAGGATAGTTTATGAGTTTAGAATTTAAAAGATTTTTTAGGTGTAGGTTAAATTTGGTTTTTAATGATGAGGTGGGATCACGGGATGTAGGAGAGTAAGTGGAACGGTCTGATAGGAGTAAAGTCATTTTGTCAGTATAATCTGTACGGTACATAATTATAGTTTTGTTGCCTTTATCAGCTCTGGTTATGATTATATTATCATGGGATTTTAAGAAGGATCGGGTAAAAGAGAATAAAAGAGAATCTGGTAAAAAAATATTTATATATATATATATATATATAAACAAAATATTACTTTTAAGATGAAACTAAAAACAAACTTAATAGAACATGGGCTATGATCAACAATTTTGTGTATGCACTTTGTGTACTCCCATCATATAATAGCAAACTTTATTTAACTTATCTATACAATCGATATTCAATATGGTTTCGATGTTGTGGTTATCAGAAAATTCTGAGATGAAGTTTTAAAGGAATTTTTGTCTATAGTCATTGTATGCTGGGCAGTGAAGGAGAATATGATGTAGACTATTGTAGATAAATTGACTGCATGATATGCAGGTTTCTTGAGACTTAATTGAAAAAGTTCTGTTTTTTGCATAGATTCTGATATGTTCTGGGTTCACAACTCTTAATTGACTGACATATCTCAATTTCTTTATATGAAGTTTGAATGTAAGGTACGTTTTGGGATCGGTAGCATGGTAACTGCATAGTATCCTGTATAATGGGTAGTTAGTTGAGTTTAGAGCTCTTAATATGTCGGTTGAGAAATAATGGTCGTGTGCTTTTTCCAGGATGTCTTATTTTTATCGAAGAAGTCCGTTTCTGTGGTAAACAGAAAGCTCTTCTGCAAAGGCATTAAGCTCGGCTATTGCTCTAAATTGAGACACCCAATTGAATTGTATGTCAGGCAGGCGCTTATCCTTGTCTAATGATTTAAGTCTATTAAAACAGAGTTTTGGGAGTCGCTCTTCTGGCATGAACTCGAGCTTGGTCCATAAACTTGTCATCTTTTTTATAACTTTCATGCTTAGTGGTTCTCTTCCTGTTTCGAGGCATACTATATAGTTTGGGGTAATCCTGGGCCAACCAAACAGTTTCTTTAAAAATTTAAGTTTTACAGTTTCGATTGCCTCAAGATAATTGGGGCTCCATACTTCAGAAGCATAAAGTAATATTGATGAAACCATGGAGTCAAATAACACTTTTAGTTTCCCAGGAGTCACTTTTCCCTTTTTTTAGTATGTCTATGACTCTTTACAGATGCTACTGATGACTTTTGAGTAAAATGTTCGCATGCTTGTTTAAATTTTTCTGACGTGAAGGGAACTCCCAAATAAGTATACCTTTTTGTGTACTCCAATATCTTGTCATGCCAGTACAACGGTTTTTAAGCCGTGGAGATTTGTAGAAAGAGTTTTAGATTTATCTACATTTAATGTAAGAGAATTGTTACTGCAATATTCTTGTAATATTTTGATATCCTTTTGTGCTCCATACCAACTATTACTTAAGAGAATAATATCATCAGCTAGAAGGAGCATTGTTACCTAATGTAAGGTATCTATGCTTACTCCTGCTGCTCTTTTGTCATGAAAGTATTTAACTATGTCATAGATAAATAACAAAAATAAGGTTGGGCTCAGACTTTCGCCTTGTAAAAGTCCTAAATTGATGTCAATATCATCCTAAAGTTGTCCATTAACTGAAATTTGGGTTGAGGCATTATCATACAGCATTTTAATAATTTTTTGTTGATTTTTCCTCCGACTCCTAAGGTAATAAGCTTTCTGCAAAGAAGTCCGTGATTAATTCAGTCAAAAGTGGGCGGGGTAGCCAAATGGGCTAAGTTGCCTGGCAACCTGACATATGAATTAAAGTAGTCATAGTCACGAGTTCGCGTCCCGGTGCCGGGGGAGTCTTTTAAATCCCCGCCCACACTCCCTGGCCCGGGAAAATCCCGTATAGCCTTAACGGCGAGGAAGGGAAGGACAAAAAAAAAAAAAAAAAAAAAAAGTAATTGAATCAAAAGCTTTTTTTTGAGATCGATGAAAGTGGCATATAGATATCTTCCTTCAGTTTTGAATGTTATTCCGATTAGTGCTGAAATGGTGAAGATATATGATCAATTTCTCTTCCATTTCTGAATAAAAAATTGTTAAGATTATAATTACTGAGAAGTTTGGTTGGCAGTGAACATGGAAAAGGTCTTAACGAGGTTTTCTTTTGTTTGTTTTAGGTACCTTTCCCTTCATCGAAGTCGAACCTAGAACCTAATACTCCTGAAGCATATGCTGTACAAGATTTTGATGCAGAAGATGAATATAATGCTTTTTTTCATAAGCATCGAGTAGAACTCCTTGATACATTTAAACAGGTTATATTAAGTTAATGGTTTATTATTATAATTGAACATGAAAGTTCCAGTTTATTGTCCTTGTCATGATAAAAAGAAAGTATTAGCATATTATCTTAATAATGTTAAAGAAGTATCAAAAGCAATTTTTAGAGAATTACACACATTAAATTTCAATACAACTTCATTGATTTCACCAAATGTTAAAGATTTAATTGTTTCCAATCTCCTCCAAAACATTCCAATATTTTAAAACTAAATCACAGTATTTGTGAATACTGTACTTGAACTTTCATATTTTTTGTCACTTTATTTTATTTTTTAATGTTTTTTCATATATTTTTTTTCAAAATCAAAAATTTTCATTTAGCAGCTATGGAAACGTTAAGAAAGACAAATTAAATATGTCAATATGTGTTAATAAAGATTTAGAGAATCACATTCCTATGGATACCACTATTGCTTCTTCATAAATGAGATCTTGAAGTTCTATTGCTCTTTGAAATACTGAAACTTTTTCTTTTCTTACTCAATTATTATCCATTCTTTTGTATGTTTACATAACAGCTGCAGACTGTATAAATACTACATTAACATACAAGCACTTTTCTGTCATTAATTCTAATATCCTCAAAAAGTCTTCTAAATGATATAAGTTAAGATTGTATAATGCAAAAAATAAATTCTATGCAGATATTCAGTAATAGAAAATAATCCACTAACAGTTTCATTTGTGTTATTATTTTAGAAAAAATAAACTTTTGATGCTATATTCAAGAGAAAGAAAATAAGTTTGATAATAATTTGTATATTTTTTTTCCAGGCTACTTTAGTTGCACCATTAGTTACATATTCCTATGTTGAAAGGTGGTTAGAAGTGCAGATTCAAAAAACAGTGACACAAAACAATTTAGAGCCTTGCACTTTAACTTCTGTTGCTTACCTAGAATGGGAAGCGCTTTCACTGGTAAGAAAATTAATGTTAATTTTGTTACATTAATTCTTCCAGTAACTTGTGTCTAGGAAAAAAGGAAAATAAGAATAACAAACCGTGGTTTGATAAAGATTGCTTAAACATGTGCGAAAAAAGAAAAACCGCTAAATTAAAAGCTCTAAATAATCCTAGCGATGACAATCTGGAATACTTCCGAACCTCAAAGAACGAAATGATAAAATTGCTCAAAAATAAAAAAAAGGGAGTATCTTAAAAATAAAATAATTGAAATAGAAACTAATAGAATCGAAAATAACTTAAGAGACATGTACAAAGGTATAAACAGATCACGTAAATGTTTAGGGCCCGTAACGTCTGGAATAAGGGATGAAAATAACAATATTCTGACCAATCCGGTTGACATATTGAATAAGTTTAAGAACCACTTTGACAATATTTTAAATATGGGAAATTATGATCTGTGTCCTCCTTCTGAGTACCAGAGTGCTGAACCGTTTAGAGAAGGAGCAAGTAAAGATGAAGTTAAAGTAGCTATCGGAAAATTAAAATCCTATAAAGCAGTGGGAACCGATAATATTCCTACTGAACTAATTAAGGCATACGGGGAAGCTGGAGTTTCTAAAATACATCGGTTGGTTAGGAAGATCTGGGAGAATGAGAAATTACCTGAAGAATGGAAAGAATCTTTTCTTATTCCGATTCACAAAAAGGGTTCGAGGACGGATTGTAATAACTATCTAGGAATTTCACTCCTTCCGGTATGTTATAAAATATTCACTTTAATCTTAACCAGTCGAATCACGAAATACGCCGAGGAAATTATCGGAGACTACTAATGCAGATTTAGACGGAATCATTTGACTATTCATCAAATATTTTCTTCACGGCAAATATTAGAGAAAAAATTGGATTACAACGGTATTGTTCACCAGTATATTGATTTTCAAAAGGCATACGATTCTATTGACTGCCAGAAACTATAATATTCTAATCAAGCAGGGGATTCCAAAAAAAATTAGTAAATCTAGTCAGGATGTGCTTGACTGAAACAATCAATAAAGTTAGAATCAGTAATAATCTATCCGAAAAATTTGAGGTTCGTTCGGGTTTAAAACAGGGAGATTCCCTTTCACCTGTCCTGTTCAATTTGCCATTAGAACATGCCATTAGGGAGGTAATGCGTACCGAGAAAGGGTTGGATCTGGATGGGACAACATCCGTGCTGGGCTATGGTGATGATCTGGTACTGTTAAGAGAAGACGTGAAAACTATAAAACTAAATACAACAACGTTAATGAAAGCCGGTAAAGAACTAGGACTCGAAATAAACGCAGATAAAACAAAATATATAACAAAATATACAGTTAGCTGCAAAAATGGCGATACTACTAGTGATATCGATATAGATGGTAATATGTTTGAACAGAAGAGAAATTTAGTTATCTAGGTTCTACGATAACTAGAAAAAACGTAATTGAAGAAGAGATTAAGGTTAGACTGAAGGCGGGAAATGCTTGTTATTTTTGTGTGACAAAACTACTTAGTTCGCGCCTCTTGTCCCGGAACTTAAAAATTAGAATCTATAAAACAATTATCTTGCCAACAGTTCTTTATGGATGCGAAATTTGGCCACTTAGATTAAGGGATGAGCAGTGTCTTAAGGTTTTTGAAAATAAAGTATTCCATAGAATATTCGGACCGAAGAAGGATGACTTAACCGAAGAATTTAGACGGTTACACAACGCCGAATTCCGTGAACTGTATCCGGGTAATATAGTTGAGGTAATTTCATCAAATGGGCTTGTAAAGTTGTTGGGCTTAGTAACGAGAGAATTCCTGAAAGGTTAATATTTGCTGTGCCGAATGGTAAGCGTCCGAGGGGTAGACCGAAGCGTAGGTGGGAAGATTGCATTAAAGCCGATCTGAAGGAACTGGGTTTGGACTGCGAATGGTGGAGGAAGGTGTGTAATAAGCGATTGGTGCTGTCGCCATCTAACCTTCGGGTTCGCTAAGCCTTTTATTATTATTATTAATTCTTCCATCTCCTGAATTTCAAATTTGATTTTATATACAATAGATTTTTTTATTTCTCTCTAAAAAACTGCTGTGAAACCTCACTTAACCGAATGCCATGGAACTTTTTTTATTTTCATGCCTGAGTCATATGTATTTGTTTGAAAAGTAAGACCTAATAGAATAGATTAGATTCCCATTGGTTTTGTGGTGAATTTGTACCATACATACGAATAATGACAATATCTTGTAAAAGGAAGCAAGGAGTAATCTATTTAGTTTATGGACATAAAATATAATATTATGGACTGAACAAAAGAGATGTTGGCATGCATATAAGTTGGCTGGGAAAGACTCTTATGGAATCCCAATTTCACTGCTGCTAGTTTGTGCTAAGAGGCTAAGCTGTGCCCAAAGAAGAATTAAAGTGATCCAAAAATAAAAAACAACAACATTCCAAACTGTTCCTAGAATGATCATGTTAAAGGGGAAGCTAAATGTTGTTTCAAATGGATTTTTGAGATTTTGGAGAAAAGTCTTAATTGAATTTTCTTTTATTCAGTAAACCAATTCATGTAATTAATAGATTATTTTATTGAGAAATATGTCTCTGGTAGTTAGAAGAGGGGGGCAAAATACTTTGATCTAGGAGAATCTAAACTTTGAATCGAGGCCTGTTATTGAGATTTGTGAAGTTTAATTAAAAGTGTTCTAAACAGCTTCTTATCTAGTGCACAAGAAGTGATAATAGGTATATTAAATTTTTTATTTATTGATCAGTGACATGGTCTCATATTTTCTGGCCACTTAATAAATTCGAAGTTTATAAAAGATATATAAGATAAATTACATTACATTCATCTAATAACATTTTAAGTTTGTAGTTTGGTATAATTGATATAATAGCTAAAGTTATTGCTACTATAAATCTAAACTTATTAATAAACGTTTTTTAGGCTCTGGATGCTGTCTTGGGAAAACTGGTGATGGCAAAGGAAAGGCCTGATGTCAACAATGGATTGAAGCTTTTGGTCCTGTGTTTGCAATTAGAACCTACTGATCCTCTCATCCTCTCGGCCATGCTGTCGTGTATATCTGCACTCTTTGTTTTCCTCAGTATGGCTCCTCCAGAAACAACTGCTGTAATTATATTTTTTAATATTTGTATAGCTTTTTGGTTTATTATTTTCAATAATGAACTACTGTAATCTAACAAAAAATTCAAAAACTTAACCCCTTTCAAAATTTGAGGTTTTACGTTTCATAGGTAGAATTCGAAAAACGAATAAAAATTTTTCGTCCGCGCTTTTTCTCCGAAACTACTGTACTTTTTTTTTCAAATTTGGATTTAAATTTAGAGGTCACCCAAGGATGATCCTCCTTCCTCAACATTACCATCCTCCTTTTCTTTTCAAGATGGCGGTCGAGAAACCTGTGTTGCTGCTGACTGTAGCGCCTAACTGAATATACCGATTTCAATAAAACTTGGCTAAAGTCTTCTTCTTGATGCCCTTTAAATTTATCTATATAACATACTTCGACGAAAAGAAGCTGGAAAAAAAGTTATTAGGGGTGGTAAAATTAGGTTCTGGATAACTCAAAAACTATACATTTTTTTGTTGATATTGTGATATGATGTTTCAAAGGTATTTAAATTTCCTAAGAAATGAAGAAAGTTTCATAGAAATCAGAGCATTATTACTAATGACATCGCGATTTTTAAATATTTTTGGTTTATTATTTTCAATAGTAAACTATTGTAATCGAAAAAAAAAATTCAAAAGCTTAACCCCCTCTCAAAAGTTAAGGTTTTACGTTTTAGGATATGTAGAATTCGAAAAATGAATACAGATTTTTTGTCTGTCCGCCGTCCGTGTATTTTCTCCGAAACTATTTGACCGATTTTTTTCAAATTTGGATTTAAATTGAGAGGTTACCCAAGGATGATCCTCCATCATTGACATTACCATCCGCCTTTTCCTTTCAAGATGGCGGCCAAAAAACCTGCGTATAGACTTTATGTATAATTGTTTGGAAATAATAAACCATTATAAAATAATTTGCAGCATTTTTTTATTATCTATGAAGACAGATCAAGTTGTTTTTCTTTTTATAATCATTTTCAATTTAAATATCTTAAATGAAGAACCGCTTACATTAATGGGAAAACTGCAATTCTGTTGTGCATGATTATAATTTTATACAGTAAAACTTAAACTTTAAATTATTTTATACGAAACTAAAATATTGTAATGTTTATTTTTTGTCTTTTCCATCTCCCTCTGGAGTTCTCTCCTTTTTTAAATTAATAAACTTAAGCAGGTTATTTATCTGAGTTCTTTCAATATTCATTGTTATTTTATAAAAAGAAAAGATTTTATGTAAGTTGTGTAGTTTTCAAGTTATCTTTCCTCAAAAACTGAACAAATCCTAATTATTCCACATAATTTCGTCCTTTATATGTAATATATAAAAGTGATATTGCTACTTATTAATAAGGACTCCAAAAAGTACGATATTTTGCATTTAGATGAAATGCAGAGTTTTTAGAATTCTAGGAATAGTTTTTTTTAACTGTCCTAAAAAGTTTTGTTAAATGGAAATATTCACTTTTGATATTGAACTCTATTAGACTTAATATTTAATAACTTTTTGTTTTCCGTTGTAGGTGTATTTACCAAAAGTTTTGGACAAGATTTTTGCAACACTTGTTTTCACTATACCTGGCGAACCTAAAAACCAAAGGTCTCGAGGCGTTAAGAATCTGCGCCGCCATGCAGCTTCTCTAATGGTTAAAATAGCTCAGAAATATCCGCTTCTGTTGCTTCCTGTTTTCTCAAGAATACATGGTATTGTTGTCAGTCTGCAGGCTAAGCCTCACACATTGTCTACAATGGAGGCTTTGTGCTTACAGGTAATTCATTGATGAATTTTGAATTTGTTATTTTTTATTTCGAATTTATTCTATTTAATAATCACATAATTTAATTTTTTTAGGAAGCTTTACTTTTAATAAGTAATCACTTATGCGATTATGATCGAGAGTGCAGGTTCATCGGTGAAGTGATGGCTCCAGTCATTGGTCCTTGGAATAACATGGCTTCGGCTGCATTTATGTCCACACCAGCATTCATGTCTTACGTAGGATTAGATAAGCCTCCCGTGGAGCCTAGTTCTGATGATATTAATGGTCAAAACAGATCACAAGTAAGTTTTTTTTTTTGTGTGTGATGTAAAAAATTGAAATACAATAAAACAAATTTTTCACCATTTAGTATCTGCTAATTTTTCGGCTTACTTTATAGGCTTTCTTCAAGATTTAAATAAGAATAAACAGACTAGAATAAGAATAAAAATTTAATCTAATGGACACTTTCGAAAGATAGAATAAACAAAATCTATACCAGACTAAAATCATTAATCTTATAAGAATTTGTACAAAACTGAACAATGTTGAACAAGTTCCTAAGAGGTGGTGAGACTTGGAATGAGTTAAGTGATTGAATGTCAATGATAACAGGGAGCATAGTATGAAACTACAAAAATAATATTTAAAAACAGCCAAAAGTGCAGGAAGAACAAGTATTTAAGAACTTTGTTGACTTGAACCTAGTTCTGCCATAAATACTGTTCCAAAAGTTGAACTTTTTTTACATCCTTGGGTATTATTTAGATAATCCTTACCTCTATCAGTTTATTTTCTTTACATGTCAGGATAATAATCCCAATTAGTTTGTATTTTTCTTTCACTCAGTTAACATGGAGTGGGGTGATAAAGAAAACCAAATAGCTGTGATCGCCTTACACAAACTTGGAAAATGTAGGTCAGAGATTTTGAACACTTTGAAACCTTTGGGTATCAGCCGTATGTTTGTATACTGTACCAAGAATAGATAAAAAGAGATCCTATCTGTATATGACAGACCTCGACCGGGCCGTTCCCAAACTGAGAACGGCAAATGCAGTGAGAGCAGTGGCTGCTCGAATCAGAAGAAATCCCACTCAAAAATAACAAATCATGTCTTGGGAAATGGGAATCTCTGTCAGATCAATGTCTCGTTCAATGAAAAGTGACCTTAGGATGGGTGCATTTTGAAGAATGGCAGGAACAAAGGCTAACCACTTCCCAAAAATAAAATTAGAGTGGATAGATGCAAAGTGCTCCTTGGCCGTTACATCAATGGTCTCCATCAAAAGATTTTGTTTAGCAATGAGAAAATTTTTAAAATTGAAGAAAAAATTAATTGCCAAAATGATCGTGTGTACGTGCACAGTTCTAAACAAGCCCAGGAAGTCATTGGAAGAGTGGAAAGAGATCATCACCCTTTCTCAGTGATGGTTCAGAGGGGAGTTTGATTTTATGGCACCACATTTTGTGTAAAAGGAGTTAAAGCAGCCGCTAAAAACTAACAGAACTATATTTTGGAACCTGTTGTCAAGCCTCTAAATGATAGGTTGTTTGCTGGAAGTGATTGGGTTTTCCAGCTGGATCCCGCTGCACTTCACAAGGCCAGGTCAACAGCAGTGGCTGCTAAAGAACATTCCAGAGTTCATCTCTGTCTCGGATTGGTCCTCAGGAAGCCCTGATCTCAACCCTCTAGATTATCAGCCATGGTCTGAACTGGAGAGGATGGCATGACATAGAGCACACCCTAACTTGGAAAGCCTCAAACAATCTTTGGTCCGAGCAGTTGAGTGCTTTCCTTAAGAAGTGCTGCGTGCTGCTATTGATGACGCCATGGAGATTAAATGCCTGTGTCAAGGCAAGAGGGGGACATTTTGAGTAATTTCGTTTTTGTTTTACTTTCTATAGATATATATTTTATTTTCTTATAAAGTTTTTGAAAAAAATAATTTTCTGTTTAAGTCTGTATATATTTCCTTGTAACAGTATTAATGAAAGGACTAGGTACACTAGTAGTGTTGGATATTTTCTGATGACAATACTTCCATGTCTTTCTTTTCTTGCTTATTTTTGTAAAGTATCCTGATTTAATAACTTGGTGTTTCGCAAAATTTTCTATTGAGAAAAATTATTACCTGGTATTAGTAAGCTCAAAAACAGATACTTGGGTGAGTCATGATGCTGATTACGTTTTCTCCTAAGAATACTATAAGGTGCAGGCTCTCGGATGCATCTTGTATTTTCTCTCTAAGCTCTTTGGGACTTATTTTTATAATGGAGCAATACAACTTAAGCCGGCTGTTGTTTAATTTGACGTTCTAGTTTTTAATTTAGGTACCATAACCTTAATCTGCCTAAAATTTTTAGGCACCTTTGTTTTCTGTTGGTAAAATTTATAAGAAATGTATGATAAATATTATTTTGAGACTAGGCATACCAATCTAATTGTAATGTTAACGTAATCATATCTATCTCTGTTTTTATTAATAAGCTATATAATAATGAAGAATATATTATAATAATGAGGACTATATAATGTATAATACTATATAATATATAATAATATACTATAATAATATAATACTATATAATATATAATATTGAGGGCTAGGCATACCATTTTAATTGTAATGTTAACTTAATCATATTTGTCTCTGTTTTTATTAATAAACTATATAATAATGAGGAATCAAGCTTTCTCAAAGTTTATTTTTTCTTAGATTATGTGGTGCTTAGACGTGATTCTTGCTGTTGTAAAGAGAGTCATGTGGCCCAGCGATCCTGAACTTGCTGCGAGAGGAGGATTTCTTGTTTGCACAACAGAAGCTGGGAATCCTATTTACAGGAATCCTGCTACACCACACGTTCTTCCTCTACTCCCTGGGTTGTTTAGTCTTGCATTTGTTATAAATGGTCTATCATCAACAGCTGCTCTTACCAACCTGTCTGAGGTATTGAAATTTAATTTTCTATAGAATATTTAAAACAATATAATATTGTAGTGATATTATACTACAATAATATTACCATTTGCTACCAAAATTTTGGGACCATCTGCTTTAAATTTTGTTAACCAATGGATCCATTAACAACAAATTTTATTAGGAAACATTAGATTGTTTGTATTTTATAAAGATCAGGATTCTGTTACGAATTACAGTCTCTCTAATTATTATTATTTATTTCATATCTTACATCTTGAGAAGTTTTTGGTGACCTGCGCCATATTCATCTCCATAATTTAACACATTATAAGTAGTAAAATTCACGATTCATAATGTGACTGGAGCAGTATTTGTTCTTTGTCCCATGTTTTATCTAAAATTATTTTAGATTAAAATTGGTGATTAATTAATTAAATTGAATAAAATAAAATTTATTTACCGACTTTCCAGAGAACAGGGCTCCTCTTTGTCCTACATCATCTTATCTGAATGCTGAACAAGTACAGTCAGTTCCATTTATATTATGGACCAATTTAGCAACTAAGTCACCCAACATCCTATTTTATTTTCTATTTTTATATAGTTTTATGATTGGCTATAATATATGAGTAGTGTTATGGTATATGAGCCGCTTCCTGTTTTGAGTTTTGATTGAAAGTTAGATTTGTGGAGTATTTCAACATTGTCAAAATCTATTTTGTGTCTATGATTTTTTGCATGATTTGATAAGGCAATAGTTGTTTTTGAATTAATTTTAGGTTACTTTTATGGTTATGTATATTGCAGTTTTTACAAGGTATATTATAAACTAAATTTTTATGGTTCTCAATAGATGTTGGGTCCTTTGTCTGTAAGGGATCATTTACACGGTGCCAGTCGCTGGCAGTGTCTGGCGCCAGTTGCTGTCATTCCAGTTGACTGGCGCATTACGGTTAAAGCTCATTTACACGGTGCCAGTCGCATTCCAGTTGATTAGCACATAAAGTTAACACATTCCCATTAATGTAGAACGATTTGAGTGTTATGCGGTTTTTTAAAATACGTATTTATTTATTTATTTTCTACAAATGGATGAGAAACAGTACAAATTTGCAATTCAGAAACATGTCCAGCAAAAGTTTTCAAACATGAAATGATAGGTGGCAAAAAAACATCAATTCTTTCCAACATATTTTTTTATTTGAACGCCCAATTATAAATTCAACACGAATCTTATCAATATTTTAATAATTGTTTGCATAACAACAAAAACATACTTTTTTATAACAAATTAAAGTATAAAATAAGAATTTTAATGTAGCAAGAGTTTTTATTTTACCAGGATAGTAATCCTTAGCCCGAACGGTTATTATCCAAATGAACATAGAAATCCTCTTCAGAGTCGAGATTTGAATCCCATCGAACGTATATAGACTTATGTCGATTAATAGCTCAGAAATCGAAATATATGGAAAATCCTATTCGACTTCAAAGAAGATCTAATCAATGCCCAATTGGTACACTAAAACAAAGAAATGTATCCAAAATATTAATAATTTAAAATTTGTTTGTAAAATAAATTATTGTATAACACAGCTATGTACAAAAAGTTTTGCTGCATTCAAATTCTTATTTTATACTTTAATTTGTATTAAAAATATGTGTACTTACTGTTATGCAAATATTTTTGAGTAAATTCATACGAGTGGTATTGAAGTTTTTAATATGCGTTTAAAAAATCTATATAAAGGAAAGAATACTTCTTACTGGTTTTTATATCTTGTATCGGTCAGTGTATTAAAACGTTTTCTGATCACTGTATATGAAGGGTTTCTAGAAGTAAGTGACCAGGAGTTTCAGAGCAGAAGAAAATATGAAAATCATGGTTTAGATCTTACATCAATAATAACCGTTTAGGAGTAGCTGAGACAGTTATCAGAGAACTGCATGAAAATGATCCACACGAATTCAGGGCAGTTATTCGAAGTTGCTTCCTCTGCCACTACCTTTTGTTTTTTTTAATTTTCGATAGCTCCAAATAGTATGTTGACCACCAAGTCTTAATTTTCTTTGGTATGTCTTATATGGTGAAGTTCGTGGTATTTATCTTGTATTTGGTTACGTACCTTGGCTTAAGGTTTGGAACATGATTTAATATGACCCTTCATTTGGACTACTTAGGAAATAGATTGACCCTTGCCTTGAACGGCCTTAGTCGCTTAGGGGGTACACATTTTAAGGCCTTCGATATCCAGCTACGATGACCATTTACAATGGAGCGATATTGGGTATTCTGAGATATGCCTCTCCTTCATGATCTCAGAACATCTCACACCGTCAGAAACGCAGGTTGCCAACAATTCAACGTACGGCTCTGTTGCGTGTCCCCAAGTCATACAGAAGTGTGTCTCACGAAACGGTACAGATCTAAGCAGGAGGGGTACTTCTCAATATTCTCCTGCGAGAAGACTCATTGAAATTGAAGTTCAAATGAGAAGGCTCAGCAGGTTTTCCGGAAAGTATCCGTAAGGATTGTTGAAGACTCCAAAAAAATGAAAAAAAATCATCCGGGAGGATAGCACAAATGACTGGAATCGGCGGTGAGTGACAACCTTGAAAGGAGCAAGCTTGAGAAAAAATTTCCGCTCCGTCCGAAGTCGTTTGAACGCGAAGCGGGTTCTCCTGGACTACTGGTTCTTTCAATTCCTTACAAGGTATGAATGTTATCGCAGTAAGTTGCATAGCTCTCTCGATCATTGAGACCTCAAGTCGACGAAATGAGACATGTATTCAATGACAGTACTACATTTAATGTAAGGTTGTGTGGATGCGAACCCTACGCCTTGTCTTATCTCGAAAATGGTACGTTTTTGGGCTCAAAAACGCAGGATCCGATAGTTCCGGAGGAACTATCCGGGTCTTGCTGTACGCATGAAAATCTTCTAGATCCAATTTGTCCCATATCGATCTACAGAGCTACCACTGTTCAGGTATTGAAGCCTAGCAAAATGTTTGTATCGACTTTATTTATTTTAGAAAGAAAAACAAAAGTGGAGAATACGATTCGCTAACCCCCCATCAAATTCTGAATCCAACGGTACCCCATTCATGGTATTTGAGCATGACAGGAGCTTATATTTGGTACAAAACCGATTTCGAGCCTTACTGTAATAATATATATACGGATGAAAATTTTAAATCCGAAAATAAATTGCGTAATAAGACTGGTCATCATGATTCGTTGTTGTTTAAAAAAAATCTGAATGCATTGTACTTATTATACGATATTTAAAAGATAAGATATATAGCATTATAATTGAGTAGCCAAAGTTTTTAAAAACATCAAATTTTGCGTCACATAAATTAAAGTGATCAACTTTTGAAGATATTTTTTCGCTTAAAAACTTACTATAATATGTACCCAGTCATATAGAAATTATGAATGTCGCGAGATTTATTCCATCGGTCCGCTTCGAAATAACTTCAACCTACAACACAAGAATCTTCTTCAAAGGCAGTAAGAGAAGATTTACAAATAAATTTAGTAAATAGTATCACTTTAGAATGTTCCAAAGTTCAAAAACTTAAACAAAATTAATGCTTCAATATAGAATTGATCCTCCTCATCCATTTTCCTACTTACTTATTCTTGTTAATTTAAAACGGCTATTTAATGAATACTAAAATATTTTATATAAGGATATTAGATTTCGAGCTAGGACATACATACTATAAAAATAAGAAAAAAATTATTGATATTTATTCACTAATGTCAAAAACACACTAAGTACGAAAACATAATATAGATTAATTATAATAATTTTACCATTTAAATAAAATACCATGCTACAATGTAATTTATCATCAATATCTACAATTTGGTAAGCTTATATTTGAAATATAGGCAATGATATATTGTATTACAATTTTGGGAAAATTTGTCTTCAGCTAGAATGTAATAGTCCGTAATACAGACCTTTTTTTATCAAATTATTAACACCCGCCTGAAACTTTGTAAATATCTTCTATTTATCTATCTAATCGTAACCTACAAATATTTTATTTACGAAAATTGTCGGAATTGGGGTGTTTTCAATCTGGAGATCTTCAAACTTTGTTTATTTAATTAGGTTCTACAGACTCGTAAATACCCACTTGATTTCCGCTTAAATCATAAGATAATTTGAGTACAAACTCAAGGAAAAAGGTGGCTTTCAAAATTATTGCACCATTTGGCGTGTAAAAAATATAAGCCAAATGGACCAATATTTTTTTGTTTTACCTTTTTTCTCAATTTTTTGATCAAATTATCTTACGATTCAAGTGGAAAGCCAATATATATATATATATGTATATATATATATATATATATATTAAACAGACAAAGATTGCTGACCTCAAATTTGAAAAAGCCCTAATTCTAAGAGGTTCCGTAAATAAAATAATTGTGGGTTATGATGAGATCAAAATATTCACGAAGTTACAGGCGAATATTAATAATTTGATAAAAAGGCATCGGTACCACGGACTCCATAGGTTCACATAATTTTTTTTTTATTAACTTAAACAAATCATATTAAAATAACGATTTGTTTTGCTGGTTAGTCATATCTAGTTCCGAGTAGGTGCTTGCCAGTGCGCCAGTCAATCAAAAATTTCTTGCCAGTGCCTCGCTGGCATCTCCAGTGGCTGGCATGAACTGTTTACACGCTGCCAGTCGCTGGCATTTAGTGACTGGCGACTTCGACTGGCACCGTGTAAATGAGCCCTAAGTTTTGAAAGGGTGTCTGGGCTTGAGGAAAAATTTGAAATTGTCTACATCTAACTTTTTAAAAGTTTTTGATATTATTATGTGATATGATAAGTCAGTTTTTAATATATGTTTGGATTTAAATTTGTTATTGTTATTTTTTATTGATATTGCTATATTGTTTTTTTCTGACTTTGGTTATGTTCGTTATCTTTTGTTGCAATTAATGAACTAGTGTTGAAAAATTGTTAGTGACTAGTTTGGGTTGGGGGCTGATGCATATTTCAGTTGATAGTTAGTTCATTATTATTTTTATTTTCTGTCAGACAATTTTGAGTTATGTTTTTGTCATTTTGTTCTTTATTTGCTATTGATAGTTTCTTATGTTTATTTATTGCTTTATACCATTGTGTTGTTATTAATTTATGTGGATAGAAAGTATTTTTTAATATATGGAAAGTGTGTTGCTTAGTTTCTTCCATATATAAATCATCTATAATTTTAATTGCTTTATTGATTAAATTGTTACTTACATTGATAATTTGTGTTTTGGGGTGGTTAGAATAAAAGTTAAGAATATTTTGTGCTCTCATAGTTTTTGGTATATGGATATTGTCATATCCAAATAATTTATGCTGTTATTATTTTCTATTTATGTTAGAATTCTATTTTTGGATGGACGAGGTTATAGACCAAATAGAATGCTTTCAGTTTTTATTTGATTGTTTCAATGCTTTTTCGACAACATGGTTCAGGACTATAGCTAATAGATTGACAGAAAGACAACCGCCGAGAGACAATTTGGAATATAAAATTTATTTTTAGGTCTATTTTTTAAATGAAAAATATCAGATTACGCTGAAGGAAGGAAAAAGCCTTCTGCCTTTAAGTTGTCATTTACCTTCTCAAATGTACCATTATGAATTTTTTCAAATACTTTAATTTATTTTAAATTATTTATTTTGCAATCAATTGCATTGATTTGTAAGTTGGTTATTTGAGTTACAAAAGGTTATAGTAAAGGGTATGTGCACTATAAAATTCTTCTGTATGTTATTTGCCCTAATTACGATACCTATAATAATGAGGGAACTTATCTTTTCTCGTTCCTTCTGGCAATGCTAGAGGTAATACCCTGATAAAGACCTGCAATGTAGGTTGAAATGTAAGCTAACAAAATAAACACTACTATACTATATTATATGATCAAACCCTCTCCTCGAATCACCATATTTCTCATATCTCCTGATGGATAATTTCTACCCTCAACCTATTCCATCGCTTCCGCCATCTCCTACCTCAACATACGTGTAGACCCCTGCTTTCCTCTCTCATCTTCCCCACTTTGATTACAGCTGTGTGGTGTATGATGGACTCTCGTTAGAGCTCCATGACAGACTGAAAATACTAATGAACAGCTGCGTAAGATTTGTAATTGGTGCTCTGAGATACTCCCATGTCTTTCACCACTACACTGAGTTAAAGTGGCTCTTCCCCTCCATTCGAAGACAATATTTCCTAGATACGTTCCTCTATCAAATCATCAACAATCATTGTCCTTCTTACTCCTACAACCTTCTCCAATTCAAGTCCTCAGTCCACTCCCTTTCCACAAGATCGCGACCTTCCGACCTTTACGTTTCTTCTCACAGATCTGCCTCGTTCTAAAATTCCTTTATTGCTCGCTCTGTTAATTTCTGGAATTCCCTTCCTATCAAAATTCGGCATTCTCCCTCCCTATCTACATTTAAAACCCTCCTATTCCAATTCCTGTCCCAAAAACAGTTAGATAACCCCCTAACCTTTTATGTTAAACTACATATTATTCATAATGATTCACATAATGATATATTTACTTGTAATACATCACTTGAATACTTACTATGATATTCGACTTCTTTTTTCTTTTTTTTTTCTACAGAAACACAGAGTTTATTTCTAAGAAGAATGTAATGTATTCTTTATTTATTTATTTTTTCTAAAAGTGTATATTTGTTTTACCACTGTACATAGTTTTAAGTGTCTGGGCTTGGTTTCAAGTGTTTTTTATATAGATTTTTTAAATTTTGTATATAGAATGTTTAACTAATATTTTCTTTACTTATTTCTCTTTATTTTTACTTTTTGTTTGTTTTTATTTAGGCCAGATATAATATTTTACTTTTTTGTTATTCTAAAGGGACTTTGTCCTAGAATAAAATTATTTTCTATCCTATTCTATATAGTATGTGTCTATTGAAACCAACCAACTTCTCCTTTTGAATTGTTTATACTATTTTTACTTCAATACCATTAGTGTGTAAGGAAATGTCCTAGAATAAAATTATTTTCTATCCTATTCTATATAGTATGTGTCTATTGAAACCAACCAACTTCTCCTTTTGAATTGTTTATACTATTTTTACTTCAATACCATTAGTGTGTAAGGAAAATGTATTTTTATAATAATCCATTCATCTCTCTTAGCACACTGTGTACCACGGATTAAATATCATGAACAAAATTAGTTTTTTACACTTAACAATTTCTTATTATCTATTTTAACGTAAACTGTAGGAATTTATTTTGATATGAATTTGAAAATATAACTCGGTTGAAATAATTTATCAACTGGAAATTGTAACATGGTTTAAAGAAATATTTTATATTAGGGCTACAGAGGAGCCTATATGATGCTAGAACTAGAAAGGCAGAACTTACTAGGAATAGGCAGCACAAGTGAGGTAATGAACAGTGAGTCGAAAGGGGAAACAACTCCGCTCCAAAGAATGCAAAATTTCATATCTTATGTTCATGAGGATTGTTGTCATGCCTTAGCCCACGCCTTTCATGCCCTCAGTCACGATATGTATCATGTTCCTAACTTGGCACACTCCCTCATCGCTACGGTCTTCTCCAATCTCGAGGTAATCTTTGTCTTTCTTTTTTATTTATGATTTAAGGATTTATTATTGTAGTTATCCATATATAATAATTATTCTAATAATGTATTATATTGCTAGTGTTCTTACAGTTGCTTAGAATTTGTCAATTTTATTGGCATCATGCCATATCCCTTATTAACATTTTCTGCATTTACTTAAAATATATTTATTATTCTTTCAAATTTTTTTTAGAATATTTTTGTAAAAACCCTTAGTCTCAAATAACTATATATAATTATTCACAATATTTCTCAACTTCTTCTTTGGTGCATATGATTTATTTTCAAGTTTATTTATTATCAGCCAGTTTTACACCAATTTTTTAAATTTTGTCAACTTTAAGACATCACATCTAATTACGACATTTCGGCTTGTTGAGCCATTTTCAAGTTTGAAAAATCTGGTGTGTCCACTCACATGACTTTCCTACCTATTTCAGAAAAGTTTTTAAACATTTCAGAAACATTTTTCTTTTCTTTATAACTTTTTTTCCTGATTTTTTTCGGAAATTTAGTCTATAATTGAAAGGACAATGATTAGAACATCCTAGAAAAGTTTCATTAAAATCGTTCATTAAATAGTTCATTAAACTCTTATTGATTAACTTTTTTATTTTACAGTTTGTACCAGACCATAGGATGAGGCCGTTTGTTCGAGTGTTTTTGAAATCTTTTGTTACAAGTTGTCCACCATCTTGTTATGATATCGTTTTAACACCTGTGCTGGCTCACTTTACTCCATACAGTAAGTATTTTTCAAATGTCTTACCACTTCTGTGGTTAGAGATGCCTCACAGTTCAGGAAGAAAAGACTCATTTAAAAAAAAGTTATTCTTTAGTTCTAAAGTATCAGAAACAAAAGCTCCTTAATAACTAAACAATAAAACTACTTACTGACTTTCTTTAGCCAACATATTCTGACTCCAACTCCAGTTTCCATGTAAACTTCATAGACTAATAAAGATAAAAGAAATGGCTTCAGCTAGCATGTCCATCAAAATGAAGAGGCAGTTGAATAAGAGCTGGATAATACTCTCCTCTCTAAAACACCTCTGGGTAAGGTCCTTCCTTGTGCCTTATATACCATAGTCATAACATCAAATTGACTAAATGTTATTGTTCTTCTGCGACAGTTGCAATTTATGTACTAATTTATACAGTTTATTCATAATTAATTGTATCACATTAAGCTAAAGTTAGAAAAAATACATAAATGTAAAGAAATATTTTTCTAAATTTTGAAGTTGAATAATTTCCATCACAGGGTTGTATAATTTTTTATTTTTTATTTTAGTGTTCGCCAGACTAAATGCTAGATGGCAACATTTATCTGAATTGAGTGAAAATGGTAATACTGACGACCATGAAGAGAGTACTGACACTCAGGTAATATAATAGATTTACTAGCCTAACACTTTTTTTTTTTTTTTTGAAACAGACAATTCCTATTAGTGACAATTATTAGTCAATCTCTCTATTTTAAAATAATTAACTGAGAAAAAATTAAAATGCTATTTACAAGGTTATTATTCATATCTTAAAAAGAACCAACATGCTTTAAATTAGGTACTACATCATCTTCATTCTAATATCTGCAATCCAATGATAAATTTTCTTAATCAATCAAGAGTAACATTCTTTACCGTTGTGGGTGCCTGCCTACCAGTTCCTGATTCCAGCAGTTCTAGCATCAACACTCAGTAAGCCATCTCAGCTTTAGTCCTCCCACTTTCCTTATTTATGTTGGCCAGTTATTAATTATTCCTTATCCTCTATTATTAACTACTAAAAGATTGATGTTCTTATAATTTGGAATTAGCTACCTAAATTGAAATAGTAAAATTGAGTTATGAACCTTTTAAAGAATTAATATTTGAAATTAAAGAAGTGGTGATCTAATTGTCTGAAACAATGTTTAAAATGTGTTTTTATTTTAATCATGTTTTAAATATTATTTTTACTCCTTTCTACATAATAACGTTAGTATTTTTAATTCGAAGTACCATTTATGTCAACAATTCTTTACAATTAAGTCAAGTTTTGGTTTTGTATGACTTTTGCTCTCTAATCTAATTTTAATCAAATAATTTTTCTTGAATTTATTTGATCCTGTTTTGAACAATTTTCTTCATAGCATGTTTTCTTCCTGAAATGTGTGATATGAGTGAAGTGAATGAAAACTAGTACTGGCTTATACTAGTCAATTTTAGAGTTTTTACTCTATTTTTGAGTGAATAAACGAGTACCTACAAAGCACAGTCCATGGTACAGACGCTGTTATATGAATTATTATCATCCCTCTGAAACTTCGTGAATAGCTTCATCTCATTGTAACCAACCATGTTTTTATTTATGAAAATTCTCAGAATTGGGGCATTTTCAATCTTTAGATTATCAAACTGTCTATTTAATGAGGTACAAAAACTCATGAACACCCATTTGCTCTTTCCACTTGAATCATAAAATAATTATCGGCCGTTTGGAGTGACCTCCACCTCCAAAATGTCCAAATAATGGGCTTAGATAGGTAAAACAGAGTGGCGACAGACATGGAAAAGCCAGGGAATTTTTTTAGTTTGAAAATAATCTATTTAAATTGGAAATAAAATACTGTGGATATCGTTTATAAAGACCTTAAGAGACCTGGTAAATTTTGTTGTTATAATGTATATTTGTTATAGACAACCCAACCATCTTGATATTTATATCGTTATATAACCTATATCTATCCACTTTTCACTGTCAATAACGGCAATAAATGAATTCGATGTTCGGAAACATCAAATTCAAATTCAGTATCCCAAAAAACCTAAAAAATCGAAGAGAAACCAACTATTTGAATTTTTTCTTCAACAAACTACCATCCGACTGCCCTAATGTTATGACTTTGATGTCGTCAGTCAAGGTGAATCATCTTTTAGAAACATTCTTTACATCATATCAAAATTTCAGGTGTCAGTTCTTCCGTTAAATGAACCTTCAAATTTCACCTCGTTAATTTCAATTTTCGTATAAAAAGCAACGGCTTTCAACTGACTGACCGAAGTTGTGTGTTGAAATGAGGTTAATTATAATTTAAAATGGTTATTAGCCTTGGGTAAATCCTTCCATTAAATAAAATTGTCGGTAGCTCCTTGTCTTTTAGCGGAATTTTGAGAAGAACCGATTTTGTTGTGAGTAGATAGGTAGTCTTTGTTTTTTTTATATAAATGATTCAGCATGTCCTCGATTAGATTCGCAATTTTTTCAAATTGTAAGATTTATGTTTAATTCTTGAGCTGAGGTATTATTAGACTCTTCAGTCTCCAGTCGGCAACATAAATAGAGTTTTTCTTATATCTAGAACTTTTTGATCTTTGTTATTCTTATTAAACTACTAAACAGAAATATGAATTTAACACTAAGAGTGGGAATGAAATTGGCCCTGTAAATGTGATTCTTACATAGAGAACAGATGAAATAAAATATTTCAAAAAAAAAAAAATTTGCATCTCATTTTTATCATTGTTAGACTCGCCAACTCTTTATCTTTTCATTTTACGAAAAAGTCATGAGGAGGGTCTACAAAGTCGCTTTTTTCGGGTTTTCGCTTATATCAGGAAAACTATCTACCGCATTGACAAAGAGGTTCTATACAAAATTAAGTTATTATAAATTAAACACTATTTATTATGATTACTTATATAGCATTTTTCGCTATCTCGCTTAGTTTCCGAGGCATCCGTTCTCAATTATCGCTAATGTGGAAAAAGAAATTAACTCATGTTTTTTACTGCATTTGACTAGCTAACTCTTGACTGCTTTGTTTTATGATTAAGTCATGGGAATGAAAGTTTTTAACAATTAAATTTTCTTCAAGGATATATATATAATTTTACTAGTTTCTGTAAATTCTCGGAATTGACATAATCTAACTTTTGAACCATTGAAGATGAACTAGTAAAATTATATATATTTTTGACGAAAATTTAAATTAAAATTAAAAACTTACTTGCCCAGGATCTTATCGTAGAACGAAGCAGCCAATAGTTAGTCAGTCAAATACAGTAAAAACATGAGGTGAAATTATTGAAGGAAGCTAGTCGACTGTTCTACATATCATGGTTGATAAATAGTCAGGACGCAGTCATTATACAAACTTTAAAAAAAAAAAAAATTATATAAAAAAATGATTATTTATCACCCATGTGGCAAAATTGTTTTTCCCAAATTAGTGATAATTAGGGTCGGATAATTCGGGAACTAAGCGAGATAGCAAAAACTGGTTTATAGTTAATCATATTAAAAAATTTTTATAGAACGTTTTTGTTGATGAGATAGATAGTTTTCCTGATATAAGCGAAAAACAGCAATAAACAGGAGGCAATTTCTTTTTTTTTTTTTCCAAATTCACCATAGTTGAGTATAGATATCTCGGTAACTAAGGTAGTGAAAACATGTATAGAATCAATCATATTGCAAATTTTATCAGCTTTAATTTTGTATAGAACGTCTTTGTCGATACGATGGATAGTTTTCCTGATGTAAGTGAAATGATGCCCCCGAATAAAATGACCTAGGGGGCTTTTCCTCCCCCCTCCCCACACCTGGCTTACCACTTAGGAGTGGGGACTTTTAGTATGTTTATTTCTTTACTAGTCCAAACAATCTACCAACCTTATATTCCTTCCTGCCAAATTTCCCTCCCCAATTACTCTTTCCTACGTCATGACAGATCTGATCGCATGGGAGGTCGGACTATATGTACATAATAGTCTCAAGGCCCAAATTCTGTTACAGTCTCCTTTTCATGACCTCCCTCACGTTGAATATTTATTTGTTGAAATTACCTCTATTTCCTCTCCTTTATTGTATGTTGTTGTCTACCGCCCTCCTCGTGTTCTATTTAACCAACTCTTTGAATCCTCCCTTGTCAACTTGGTTTCCTCCTACTCCAATATCATCATCTCTGGCGATTTTAATGTAAATATGCTCTCAGAATCTCCCAAAAAATACTACCTCAGTGACCTAATATTTTCTCTCAATATTTATCTTGTCCCTTATTCTCCCACTCATCACACTCAGTTCTCTGACACCTGGTTAGACCTCCATATCTCTGACACATCCCTTAAAATCCTTTCCTCCTCTCCTATACCCTTCCTTTCATCACACAACCTGATCCAAATTTCGTACAACCTACCCGTGGAATCATTTACTCCCAAAATAGTGTCATATCGCAGTTTAAACCTCCGTTCATATGAATCCCTTCAACCTGACCTTGATTCTGTCCAATGGGATAACATATTTTATTATACCTCAATTGACCCTATGATATCCATCCTTACCTCAAACCTAAAATCCATATTAGACATCCATGCAAGGCGCAAATACTGTCAGACCCGCTTACCTGCTGATTATGCCTCTTTCAAACCACTTCGCAATGCAACCCAATCCACAATCCGACTTGCTAAATCCTACTGCTTCCATAATGCCCTTTCCAACGCTCCCGATTCCAAATTAAAATGGAAAATACTTCATAATCTATCCCTACCAGATTCCAATAACCTCATTTCCCTCCCTGTGACTCCAGATGATCTTAATGACCATTTCTTATCTTTTGCTTCTAATCCTTCCCCTTACTCATGATATTGAACGCCACAATTTCAATCCTGAAAACTTCTTTTTTCCCATGTGTCCTACAACGAAGTACTTTCCACTCCTCAAATCCCACACCAATGATTATGGTCCTGACAATATTCCAGTAAAACTAATAAAATCCAACCTTTCTATCCTTATTCCAGTACTTTATCATATCTACATCTTTTCATTGCTAAATTCCATATTTCCCTCTTCCTGGAAAACTGCATTAGTCTGAACTTTGAGTAAAACATCTAACCCTTTCTCAAAGAATGACTTCCGTCCTATTTCTCTTCTTTCCAACCTCTCAAAACCACTGGAACACCTGGTCCAAAATCAACTTTCCAACTTTCTAAAAGAACGTTCCCTCATCAATCCATTCCAATCTGGCTTCCGACCCAACTATTCAACGCAATCTGCCCTTCTTAAAATAACCCATGACCTCCAAAACTCCATTGAACACCAAAACCTTACTATCCTCATCCTTCTAGATTTTTCCAAAGTGTTTGATACAGTTGACCATAACATCCTTCTTACCAAATTGCAAAATCTTCCTCTACCCAACAGTGTCCTGCATTGGTTCAAATCCTTCTTTGCCGATCGATCCCAGTATGTAATCGTCCCAGATATCAACCTCCTTCAAAGACACTTCCCCTCTCCTGTGGTGTCCCTCAGGGTTCCTCCTTGTCTCCTACTCTGTTTGCTATTTACATTAATGACCTTCCCCTCCTGATCCATCACTCCCATTACCACATCTATGCTGACGATTTCCAAATATATCTCTCCTTCCCCCCTTCTGACCTATTAGCCGCCACAAAAAAGCTTCAAGAAAATTTAAATAGAATATATGATTGGGCAGAAGCTAACAAGCTGAAGTTAAATACGGAAAAGACCCAAGGCAATCCTAATAGGCTTTAATCACCTCCTCAAAACTGTACCTAACATTCCAACCTTGTTCCTACATGATAATCCCATCAAATTTTATCCCACCATCAAAAACCTTGGAATAATCTTCGATCAAACCCTTTCCTGGAAAAACCATGTATCCAATATCTCCCGACGTACCTTTTCCACACTAAAACACTTAAATAGCCTCCGACACCTTTTTCCTTTCGACGAAATCTGTAGACTCCTGATTACCTCCTTAATATTTCCCCACTTTGACTATTGCAGCATGGTATATGGAGGCGTCTCTGTTTATTTCAAAGCAAAACTAAAACGTTTGACAAATTGCTTTGTACGATTCATCTTCGGGATCCCAAGAGACGCCCCTGTTTCCTATTTCTATGAAGAGTTGAAGTGGCTTTATCCTTCCTACCGCCATAAGTATTTCCTGGCATCCTTCCTCTTCCAAGTCATTCACTCCCGCCACCCTTCATACATCTCCGAGCTTCTTCAGTTTATATCTTCTGTCCACTCCCGCAATACCCATTTCCGGTCTTCAGATTTATATTGTAATTTACTCGTTAAGCGTTATGGCGTTATAGCCCCACGATGGATGCCATGTTGTAATGTTCTCGTTCTCTCCAAAATTAAACAACCAGTTTCTTTTTCAATATAACATTTATTTCTCACACATATATTAATTCCCAGGTTGGGTTTAGACAATTAACATACATCCTCATTTATACTATATAAAAGCATACATTAATTATTCAACACTTTTATGGGTTTCCATTAAATTTGTCGGAGTCTATTCTTGGCGCGCTTTCGATCCGTCCATTAATATATTCTTCACTCACTCTGTGGTGCAGCTACTTCTCTTCTAAAACCTTCTACTGTTGACACTCACTACTTGGGGACCAACATCTTCTCACAGATCCTGGTTCCTAGCCGGCTGGCTACCTTCTCCTTAACCTATGTCCTCTTCACTTGCTGGCTGGTTACCTTATGCCCTATCTATGAGGCTTGCTTCCCCCACCATCTGTACTTCCTGTCAGTAGTTCCTGATGTTATCACCTTCGTGCCAATATTCAAAAACACTATGTAATGTTGACATTACAATATATAATGACCCACCGAACCGCTGCTTTCGATAAATCTTTTATTGTCCAATCCTCATCCTTATGGAACTCCATCTCCCCTGATATTCGTTACTCCAATGCTCTCCCTACTTTTAAATCCCGCCTATTCAATCACCTTCTTTTCATCCAGTTCCTCTAAAATTGTAAATAGAAAATTCTGTAAATATGTATATATATTGTTAGTTTATTTTTATCTCATTGTTCTTTCATTTATTTACTTTTTTCTTAATTGATTTAATCTAGAAGATAACTTTTTTTTTTCTTTATTCTCCATTATATCTATTAGTTAACTTTCTAAACACATGTATATATATTTGAGGCTCAAAAGCCCAAATTTTTGTCCTTGTTAATTATTCTAAAGGGATTCGTCCCAGAAAAAATAAAAGATTATTATTATTATTATTAAAAAAAAAATAAAAATTGTGTCCCTGCGATTTTCTTCTGTAATCATTCATTGACTGAACTACTCAGCCATCTCCCCTCACAGTTGGTATCGTATGGATAATTATTGTTCTTTTTGTGGCAATAAAAAAACCAAATTGCCTATGTGAAACTACATTAAAATAATAATTGCCCGTAGCTCAGTTTATTTTATAAAGTTTAATAGTTTATTAAAGTAAGTTTAATTTATAATAGATAAAAGCGTCAAGTATCAACATTTACATACTTGACGCTAAAAGTTATAGGCGATAAAAGTTTAGTTTTATAAAATAAAATAAAAAATCCTAATCAAGTTTACAAAATGCTTCCTTTAGAACTTTATATTTGTTTTTTAAAAGAATGAACTGAATTTTTTTTACTCTAATTTTCCAATTTTCAATCTTACATGATAAATTCAACAGTTATAGATTATATATCTAGTTATAGTATTAAACTAATTAGTTATAAACTACACATTTTTAACATTTGTGTTCCCTGACATATTAGTTACAGAATTTTACTCTGACAATTTGGTAGCCACCCAATTTTTTTGTGATCGAATTATCTTACAATTCAAGTGGAATCAGAACTCAAAAATAATCATTACTCATCCCCAGATTTGAAAAAACACAAGTAGTTCTTAGAGCTTAAAAGCTGTTTTTGTCATTTATTTAAATAATTTATAAGTATCTGGTAGTCCACAAAATTCGATTTCATATTACATAACCTGCAAAAATTTTTAGAAATGGGGCGTTTTCTTTATTTAACAAGATACTAAAAACTCATAAATACCCATTTGCTTTCCATTTGAATTGTAAGATAATTTGATCACAAAATAGATTTAAAAAAAAGTGCCCTACAAAAATATTGGGCCATTTGACATGGCCTCCACCCTTAACATGTCAAAACAATGAGGTTATATCGGCAAATTTTTTTTTCTTTCTTTTTTTAATCAAATTATCTTATTTATGTTTTTTGGCAATGAAAACTTCCAAATATACAACAATTGATTTATTTGTTAAATTTACATGTTAACGTTTTGGGAAATTTACTCCCATCTTCAAAACTTACAATCCCATGTTTTCTTATCGATTCATGTTAATTAAAATAAATTACTAATTAATTAAAAAATAATGCATGTTACAATACATGTTAGATTTGCGTTGTTACATTAATTTTGTAATTACCTTAAGTCTGATGTGCTCCTTTGTCATGTTTTAAATTTATGTTATAGATACATTATATAATATCCAGAGCATCAACATTCCTATAGACCAATAATTGGGTGACTGCTATGGGGGATACTATTGACCTTTGGATATGATTGTTTTTTTTACTATTGTTGTTAAATGATTATTTTTTATGTAGCTGTATTTCATTTTTGCTATATTTTAATTTTATTTAATACATCAGCATAATGTGTCTGTTGGATGCAGTAGGCCTTCTTTTGTCCCGTAGCAGGGAGTTACCTAATGCTAAATTAGATCAGTAGGAGTGTTCAAAGAATGTAAAATTAAGGTAAAGAAATATGTAATTAAGAAAAAATATGAAACGTAAAATAAAATATTACATCTGCTAACCTTGAGTAGTTGATTGGGGTCCCTAATCATAAACATTTGTTGTTAATGGATTAGTTATTTTGTTTATAGTTGTATTTGGTGATTGGTGTAGGTGGTTTTGTGAATTTTGCTGAATACTTCATCCTGTTAATATTCATTGCCGCTTCAATCTCATCCATCGCCTGCCAACATATTTCCTGGCTCTCCCTAGCCACTTCTCCTGTAGGGGGTGTCTATCTGCTCATTTTTGCGAATAAAAAAGACATAAAAAGAAGTGCGCACTTTGAATGCGCAGATAAGATTCATCAGAATCTTCAAGAATTTTTCGGTTCCACCTTCCACCAATAGATGGCTCCTTCACAGTGGCCAGTAGGTGGCGCTACTGTTCTCCAACATTTCAAATATAAAATTTAAATGCTGAACATAAATGGATGTGGCCTTAACAGTGTCCCCAAATGTTTGGTGTCTGTTTTGTAATTTACTGTTGTTCTATTGTCTTTTGTGATGTGTATGGCTTCAAGTAATTTTTATTGTTGTTTTTTGGTTCTTTGCCTAATATCTGTGGTTTATTAAAATTGAATTTGTGTTGTAGTTTTATGCTGTGGTGTGCTAAAGTTGTGGCATTTATGTTTTTTGTATTTTGGCAGTTGGTAATGTGTTGTGAAATTCTGGTCTCTAAGTGTTGGAATGTTTCTCCAATGTAGATTTTGGGGCTGTTCTGACAATTTAATTTGTAAATTATATTTTTCTTGAAATTCATAGAAAATTCTAAATTCCTTATGAGAGAAAATTTCAGAAAACATGAAGCTCAATCTATATGCTGACAAATAATGTATGTATTTTCTGATATTGTGAGTTAATAAGAACTTTTAAATTAATTTATTAGTGACTAACTTTAAGAAATGACTAACTATATTTTTACCCGATTAAAAGAAGTGAAATGAGAGTTATGTATTTGTGTCGTCTGCTAAAAGCTATGTAATTTATTTTATTTTTTGCATTAATAATGTATCTATCAACAGTTAGATGTAATACAATATGTTCTCTCCATATTACAGGAGATGCTGGAAGACATGCTGAATAGAACCCTGACGAGAGAGTACTTGGATGTGCTTAAGGTGGTGTTGTATGGGGGTGCAGAGTCTGGTAATGGATCTGGCAGCATGGAGGAAGAAAGCCAAGATGTAAAGCCCCAGTCCGACGTCATTAGTGAACTGGGAATGAGAGTGCTCGCTTTTGATCCTACTTCCCAGCCTATCGTTCTCTGTTTATTGAGGTATAATAATTTTATCTGATCATTGAAAAACTAAACTAAAATTTGCTGAATATTGTACTGAAACACAATTGAATATCATTAAATCACATTTGTGTAACATTGTTAAAAACATGTGATTCAGTCAGTATCTGGACATGAAAGCAGTTACTATACTGTTCCATTGTAACTTATTATTTTGTAAGCACTGGAAATTTAGACATAAAAATTCTACCAAAAATGTTATAACAATTAATTCTGCATACCTAAATATATCCAAGAGTCTTTGGATTTTCACAATTAAGTGAAAATGCTGATCTGTTTTAATATAGATTAGAGTAGAACTAACTTTGAGGAGAAGCATCATTGGCTAGGATCTCTGAAGGTTCTTCCCTGACATTAAAGTCACTATGGGTGCAGAATTAAGCACAAACTATGAGCTACTTGTATGATATGGAAATCATCAAGCCAAGAAAGCCAAGTAAAGTAGGGAGATACTCATAATCTTCTGCTTTTTATCTTTCTTATGGATGAAATATGAAAGGTTTGTAAAGGAAGTGAGAAAACAAAACAAAAGCAGGAGTGAGATTTTGAGATCTGTTATTTTCAGCCTCATGACATAATAAAGAATGGAAGTGAAGTTAAGAGGGTTACTGGTACTGGTACTGGTACAGGTACAGATGGGGGGACTTAATCCGGCAAGTGGCCTATTGGTCCTTTTTGCCAACCCCAAAATTTTTTACTACCAGTGGTTGTCTATTGTACCTCTATTCTGTCTCAAACCTTTTTGTTCTTCTAATGAAGTTCAAAAGGTTGGACCATTTATTGGAGGCAGCTTTGCATACTTGGATTCTGTCCGCTCTCAGAAGTCTGTATCTGAGTGATGCAAATCGGTTACATTCCGTTATAAAGTGAAAGGCAGTTTCAGATGTACTTCTGCAGAAATTACAGAGCTCATCATCCACTATCCCACAGATTTTTAAGTGTCTTTTATGTCTGCAGTGGATTGTTAGTACTCCGATGATGAGTCGGATTTCTTTCCTAGTTAGGCCCAGACAGACAGACGAAGGGAGAGGGGCTTTTAATAAATTGCTTCGCCTGTCTAAGCCCAGTACATTCCCTCCATTCTTTATCTTTATCTCCATTCTTTATCGTTCCTTGTAAAGATTCCAATCAGTGTTTCTTGGATTTCTTTTCAGGAGAGCGACGGGCTGGTTTGACTCAAACTCAAATGTGATCATCCTGTGGTCAGACAGTGTGATGTCTGAGGTGACGACCCAGTCTTTAAAAAGGCTTTTTAATTCGGCTTGAAGTGAATGTGACGTTTAAGAGCTCACTTCTATTCTTTGTTATAAGAGTATCTAGGAAGTGCAGGAGCCTAATGGTGCCTGCTCCTCCTAGTGTCTTCCTATGAGGGGTTGACAGGTCTTGAGGCAGTTGGTGGCGCCCTCCAAATTGTTAAGATGACTAGCTCGTAGTTTATGCGCCACTCATGAGCCTCAAATCATGCCATTGAGATGCTGGGCACCTTAAACACCGCTCTCAGGTGTCCTGGGTCACCCTCAGTTCCTAAGTACTGCCATCTCGATATACCAACCAGGTCCTCATTTTGGTAGTCCAGGATTCTCAAGAAGCCACTCTGGTAGTCCAGGTTACTCTGGTAGTCCAGTAGCCAATCCCTAGTTCAACCTGATATTCAGAGTTTTTGAAGGCTAATGGTCTCCTTCTGGGGTGTGGCTCATTGCACCTAAGGTTGATTTCAGCTATGAGGAGCCTGCATATGAGTTGTGCCTCATCCAGTGTGATAGGCTCACTCTCCTGGCTCTCCATTATAACCATCTGCAGTGCCCTTTCAGCTGCAGCATCCTTGTAGGATCGGGTATTCCCCTGATCCAACTGATTGCCTTGCTGTGAAGAAGGTCCTGCAACAGAGTCACTGGACCTTCTAGGTGATTGCTTCGGCCTTTTTTTTATATTGCCGGCAATACAGATCCTGAGATTTTATGTTATGGCAAACCTCTAAAGTTAATGAATATGTATATATATCTAGGAACCATTCAATAATGGTAAAATAGACCTAGAGATTCAAAATCGGGTGATGACCAGCTAGAACTAGGACTGCTACTCTATGCCTAACAGTACATGGATTATTAGAAGAACAAGATGACCGACTCACATGTGTGTGTCAAAACGTTGATTTAAATAATTTAAACTTACTGATTGTTTTCCAGATTATTCATTGTCTATTCGGTGAGGAAAAATGTACTATTACTCAGTTACTTTTAAACCCTGGTTAGTATATTTATTATTATGCCTAAAATCTTTACAGAGCTCTATACTGGGGAGACAGTACAGCCAGTCTTAAGTGCACTTCACTCCTCGGTGGGGTCATGCTTCATCTTGTGTCAGCTGGCAAGATGACTGCAGAACTGGCCTGTCATGCTCTCACATCTATCTTGTTCGGCCTTCAGTGTCACGGTCAGCACGATGCTAATCAGGGTTCTCTTCTCGTTCTGGGAACACTTATGTATGGCATATTGCGGCCAATAGCTCCTGCAATCCTACAAGTAAGAGTAAAATTGATGTTAATGAAATATTTAACTATTTCTGGATGACTTTTTTTTTTCTTTTTTTTTTTTTTTTTTTTTTTTTTTTTTGTGGCAAGAGTGCACGATGGCCATATAGGCCTAGTTTGAAGTCATTTCAGTTAAAGTGTAATTCCTGCAGTCTCTATGAACTGTAATAAGCTTGTTGGATTGATAAGTTTGTTTGCCTTGGGATCCTTTTCCCTATCAGTGCCGAATAAACGAAATCTTAGGCGAGCAAATCCATCGCACCAGCAAGTAACATGAAACACTGTCTTATCCTCCCGACCACAGTACCTACAGAGGGACGACTCTGTGAGCCGCCGGAGTTTGAACATATGATAATTTAGTTTACAGTGCCCTGTTTATGCTGCTGTAATTTTCTTAAGTGAGCTCCTGCTCAAATTAATTAGTAAGTTGGTTCTTTTTTGGCAGATTCCTTCCAGAAACAGTCTCAAGTGGGTCTGCTTTTTCAAAGACCCGTCCCTTTTGTTTTCAGCACCATATACCTCCCCGATTCTGTTTATTGTCAGACACTGACTTATACCACAGATGGGTTCCGGAGCTATTGGTGTTGTTTGAGAGCCTTGTCTGGCTAGTTCATCAGCCATTTCATTTCCATGAATTCCCGAGTGACCCGGAGCCCATTCAATATATATCTTATTAAGTCTAGACAATTTGTTGAGAATTCTAACACAATCCTCAACCACCTTGGATCTAGATGTATAGTTGTCCACTGCTCGTATGGCCGCTTGACTGTCCGTAAATATTGCTATTCTCCTCCCAACTAACCCGTCAATCAGCATTTTTGAAGCACAGTGAGTTATTGCCAGTATTTCAGATTGAAACACTGTTGCGTAATTTCCAAGTGCTATTCACATGCCCTCCTCTGGTTTGTCCCTTCTCCAGAACCAGCTCCAGATCCGCTTGTCATACGTGACCCATCAGTGTAACAATTGATCCCATTAACGGACTTATGTTTACCTGAGCTGTCTATTTTAACATTATACATCTTTGTGAGAAATTCTCGGGTTTGAGTATCAGAATGCATTGTAAGCAGTCTGTCAGTCTCAATTTTTCTAGTTATTCCGTAATGTCCATTCAGGGTATTTATCTTTGAGCATAGTTTTAATTTCTGTAGCCTGTAAAAAGTTTTCATGGCCTGCTTTTCAGTCTCCAATTGCAGTGGTAAGATACCCAGCATTATCTCCATGGCTACAGTTGGAGTAGTTTTCATTGCACCCGTTATCATTAAGCAGGCTAGTCTCCGTACTTTTTCCAATTGTATCCTGTTGTGGCCAACTCTTGCCTTATGCCACCATACAACAGTTGAATATAAAAGCATAGGTCTAACTGCTGCAATGATTAAGTTCCCATACCTTCCCTACTTCATTCTTACATGCCCAGAGGCATTTTTGGGATTTTTTAGTTGTGTACTCTACATGTTTATTCCACATCATTTTGTTTTCCAGCATAACACCTTGATGTTTTACCTTCTTACTTTCAGTTAGCTGGATATTATTTATTCTGGGTAGTCTTATTTCTATCTTTATTTTCTTTGTAAAGATGCAGACATTTATCTTGGCCGGATTGACACTAAGTCCACTGGATTGGCACCATTCTTCCAAGATTTCAGTTGCATTTTTCAGCAGATCAGACAAAACATTCTGATGTTTTCCACCAATAAGAATAGCGATATCATCCGCATATCCTTGTGCATAGAAGCCTGCAGTGTATAGTTTTAGGAGCAAGGAGTCCACCACCAAGCACCCAGTAATGGAGGAAGCACACCTCTCTGTGTGTGGACATTCTCCTCGAGGTTTAATCCACATTACAGTGTTTCCTAATTCAGTTTTAAGAGTTCGCGTATCCAACATATTGCCAATCCATTTGGTGATAAGTGGATCTATTTTTCTTGTCCTTAGAGTATGCATGATAGTTTCATAAAGAGTTCTATCGAAGGCACCTTCTATATCAACAAAAGTACCAATAATTATTTCATTCTGATTCATGGCTTTTTCAATCCTTGCTACCAGATTGTGTAGTGCACCTTCGCAAGATTTACCTGGTTGGTAAGGGAATTGATTAGAGTTTATCGAATTTACATTCACTAATTCCTCTCTTATATGCATGTCAAGAATCTTCTCCAATGCCTTCATCAGAAAAGATGACATGCATATTGGCCTGAAAGACTTAGGATCATCATATGTTCCTTTTCCAGGTTTTGGTATATAGCGCAGTTTAGATCCCCTCCATTCTGAGGGAATGTAACCAAGCAGTTCTAAAGTCCCCCCAGTAACTTTAGGAGATAGGGTTTAATGGCTGAAAGTCCTTTCTGAATCAGTACTGGTAGGATCTCATCCAAACCAGCCGATTTGTAGGGAGACAATGTGTTTAGAGCCCATTCCAGTCTATTCACTGTAATGATTTTTCTGGCCTTAATCCAGCTATCTCGATTAGCTATATTTCTAGGGATTATAGTATCTATACAGGCATTTTCCATGGTCTCACATCCAGGGAAGTGTGCTATTGCTAGTTCTCTCAGGGTTTCCACCTCATTACTTGTGTATTTGCCATTAACCCTGAGTGTGCCCAGTATTCCTTGGTCTTTCTGTTTAGTAAGTATTTTTTTGATCCTACCTGCCATAGGAGTGCTGTCAATTTCCTGGCAGAAGTTCCTCCAGGACCGTCTTTTAGCTTTCCTCACAGATTTATGGTATTCAGTGAGGAATACATTGAGGTTTACGGTCCTGTAAACCTCCCAATTGCCATGTTTTTTTGCAGCATTGAACAACCTTCTAGTGAGTGTTCTTTGTCTCTCTAAGTCCTTGTTCCACCAGGATACCCTTCTTCTGGATATCCTGGTTTTGATGTCATTACTTCTCAAATATGAGTTCCTAATTGCGTCTTTTAAAGATGAATTAAGGCATTCTAACTGCCAGGTTTTGTTAATGTTTTTTGGACAATAGCTAATTGCCTCTTCTAAATATAGTAGATATTTTTTCCAGTCCGTAGATTTAGGATTTCTATAGTTCTCTATGGTTTTGTTGTTGTCAGACCAATCGAATCTGATATACTTATGGTCTGAACATGTTTCTGCATCCAGTACATGCCAGTTTTGTATTTTTGACGTGACCTGACTAGATGTCAGCGTTATATCTATGACCTCTGATCTTAATTTATTAAAGAAGGTAGGTTTATTTCCCCTATTTAGTATCTGTAAGTTATTACTAATAATAATACCCAGTAATATCTCACCTCTAGGGTTGTTCTTGAAACTGCCCTATATGATGTTGTGGGCATTAGTGTCCAGTCCCATCAGGGTATTTTCATTGCTGGAGATTAGAATTTCTCTATGTCTTGAGCTGGGACTCCCGACTCATATGGCAGGTAACCCACCACTACGGTCAGTGTCCTTTTGTCCTTTGATGTGGTGAGTTTGGCTGCTGCCCAGTCCCTAGAACAAAATTGCCAAAGAGGCAATAGTTGTTTAGTGATTTTTTATATAGAATAAAGGCTCTGTGGTTGGTGGCCACAGAAATTATTCCATAGCCATTAATTCCCAACCCACTGATCCTGTTATTATTTAAGTAAGGTTCTTGGACTTAGCTTTGGATTAGCCTTCCTCATTTTGTTTTTTTACTCAGCCTTCAGAAATTTTGATGTATGAAGTTGAGGTGAAACTTACATTTCTATCCTTTCTTTTGTAATATAGTTATGTAAATTCTAAATCATGTCCTAATTCTTTTTTAATTTTTTATTTAACTTTTAACCCTTTAACTCGGGGAGCTCATTTGAGTGTTTCTACCTGATAGCGCATTCTGCAATTCAAAAAGACATTTAGAAAAACAGATTTTTTTTTTTTTTGGAAAAGTTTGTATAAAATACCATGAATTGAGATTGGGATCTATACCATCATTTTTTATATGATCGGGTACAGAAAGATGCTTGTGCTGGTAAAAGAATTTAGTAGACTATTGTAGTAGACATCCCCTGTATTTACACCATTAGTTGACATTGTGTGAGGGAATAAGAAGGTATATATAATATATAGGAATGTGAGGTAGCACTATGAATTGTACTCAATTGTGCAGTGGACAAATTGTTCATTGGAAAATCTGACATCGATAAAGAATCGAAAAGAAGGAAAGGTCCGATCAGGTAGCTGGAAACGATGAGGAGGACGCCAAACACTTAAGGCCTGGGCACCAACACAAGAAGACGTCATCTGGGAAGAGAGGCTTACTACATTGAAGCTCAAGATTATCAAGCCGACCGTTCACTTAATATATATTCATTTATTATCAGTTGTCAAAATAAATTATTTTATTATACCGGAGTGAATAGTCCTTTTATTTAGTTGTCCTATAGGCCTAATAATTGAAGAATAAACCAGGTGAGTCAATTCATTCAAAGTGTTTACTAAGTCCCACATTTCATATATATATTCTTATTGTTTCTTCTCACACAGTGTCATAAAATGTAATAGATCCCCGAATTCCCAATCACAGTTAAACACCCTCAAAAGTCGATATCCAGTGCCGTGGTTTTGTTTTAAAGATTCACGAGTGTAAATAACCTTAAACCCCGATATAAAAGCGGAAGGCTATGCGCCTATTCCCGCCAAAATGAATCATTTTACATTTAACTTCCTGTAGGTTATTTACACTATATTATAACAAATATGGTTATATTGAATATTACATAGCAGTGGGAGTTTTAATGTAAGGATTTTACAATATGATTAGTGGAATTTAGCTTATACTTGTTACTTGGCTGTGGCTGCATGCTGACTGATGATTATGGATGATGCTGATTGGTACGACGGTCGGCTGGCTGTCACACTCCCTTCTCCCCTCCACGGGTCCGGCAAGTCTCGGATTGTTCTACTCTTCCATGTTTCCTTCCATGGTAGAACAAGATGAAGTGAAAAAGTCTTGAAGTGAGAAGAGAAAGCGTTCTTTCTTGGCTTCAGTCGCCCATTTTCTCGTCTTGTTTTAGTGCAGACGGCGCCACCAGGCGATGCTTCAGTTTCACCCTATGAAGGGGAGGGGGTTAATATCAATTTAGGGTGATCAACCCTAAGCAAACCACCCACCTAAATTATGCTGAATAATTTCTTCTTGGGTCCTTTGCAGTAGGCAGTTCAGCCTTGGTCGCTGGTCCATAGTTGACCCTTGCAACCTTAGTCTCCCGCCCACCACTAGGATCCTTGGTATCTTGTTGCGTCCTAGTAATAGAGACCCTTATGTCGGGCTCCTTGGCCTTGTTTTCAGGGACTGAGATGACCCTTGCAACCTTAGCCGAGTGCCCTAGTGTTGGTACTGCTTCCAGATGTGATTTTAAGATGATGTTTGCAGCCATTCTGTTCATCCTTTGCCACCTTCTGATTGTTTTAGAATATCTCAGTGTCGCAGGGACTACTTCTTTCGAATGCTGAATGTTTGATTTCGTTAGATCTGTCTCTTGAAGGTTGTTTGAAGGTAGGGCGACAGCTCCAGCCTCAGTTGTGGTCACCCTCCAAATTTCCTTTCCTTCATAACATACTTGAAGTTCCTCGACTTCGGCCGTGTGAGATCTGAAAGTGTCTCCCATCGATGTCTCATCGAGGGTAATATCAAAAGAAGCTCCTGGCAAGTCAGAATGTTTATGTTCCGAGGAAGAAGAATCTTCCTCAGAAGAAAAAGTCCCGTCTGTACGTCCTATCGTTTGAGTTTTGTTTTATCTAAATTTGTGTTCTGCATCTTGTTTCCACGAGTATAGGGGAAAATAGACCAAAGGTACTTCTCCTTCTCTCTATATGGGAATTCGCCCAATTGGTGTCCCAAGTGTGTCGATAAGAGACAGTGTATTTTACTTAGCCTCAGCGCCTTTTTCCAGCTTGGGTGCCTACCAGGTTCATTGCACCCATCACACACATATATATGGATGGAAGTGATGAACCCCGCCTTTGTCGTTCGCGAGTCCCATTGGACTCCACGGGGGGGGGGGGGGCACCACATGGAGGTGACAAGGTTGATAGGGATAAGGAGATCTGGGAACTCGCCAGCAGTGGGTAGGGCACTGACGCTGGATCGTTCCGCAAAGAGTGGGGGAGACTCTCGCACCCATCTCTCTCTCTCTAGACCTCCCGTTACCCTACCCATTATCCCCCCACCCGCCACGCTTTCTTCTACCGCGTCTTTCCATTTATCTTTGGTCTTTCCCTTTTTCCTTCTCCCTTCTACTTCCAGCTCCATACACATCTTTGGCAATCTTGCAGGCATCATTCTTTTCACATGTCCAAACCAGCATAACCTTTTCTTTTCAATATTTACTGAAATGTTTTTTCTGCTTACATTCAATCCCATCCTACTAGATCTCGTACCTCCGACCTCTATCCACCTCCCCACCGAACTGCAGCGTTTGACAAATCCTTTATAATTCAAGCAGTCTCCTTCTGGAACACCATCCCTCCCGATATCCGACATGTACAATCAGTTTCCTCATTTAAATCTCTATTTTTTAACCACCTACTCCTTTCCCGACCCGATTGATCATGAAATGGAGATAAGAGAACTATTTAAAGTTTCCCCAGAAATGATTTTCTTTACTTATGCTATTTTATTTTCCCACATTTGCATTATACATATCAGTATGTTTTTAATGTAATTGTTATATTTTTTTTCCAAAATCTTATTCTTAATAAGAATTGGAAATAATTTATTTTATATATGGCCCCACAGGCATTTATTCTGTATCTGTAATTTGTCCTAAAGGGACAACAGTCCCCCCAGGATAATAAAAAAATATTTTCATTTCATTTCATTCATCATTTCCAGAATTCTTTTGTTATCCAAAAATGTCCTAAATAAGGTATGATTGTTGCTATCTCTTTTCTCGACCCATTGATTGGTTGGGATCAAATGACATCCTAATTGAGGATATTTATCAAACTGCATATTTATTGATTCTTTTGATAAATAATTAAATTGTGTATGGTTATTAATTTTTATAGGTTATGAAGCAAATACCAGATGTCAATATGATTGATCTGCAGAAACTTGACGACAGGATGTTGAAGGAGGTTCAGAAAGGAACAAAAGTAGACAAAGCTAAAAAAGAAATGTTCAAAAAAGTTACAAGTCCCGTAAGTACACTTATATTTCATATTTTAATCATCCAATTTGTGGAGAAATCGATTAGAACTTGCTCTTTAAAATGTAAAACCATTTTCTTTCATAAGTATGAAATTTTAAAGTTTCTGTATTTGTTTAATAATAATACTTTATTTATTTTGGGACGAGTCCCTTTAGAATAATAAACAAGTTCAGAAATGTGGACTTTTGAGCCTCAGAGATACACTAGTTTATTTACAATGTAAACAGATAAATATAATGGATAAAAAAGTAAAGTTATCTTCTAAATTAGTTAACAAAAAATGATCAATAAATGGAAGTTACTGAAATCAAACTAATAATATGTGTACATGCTTACAGAAATATCTATTTTCAATTTTATGGGGATTGGATGGAAAGGAAGTGATTGAATAGGCGGGATTTAAAAGTAGAGAGGGTATTGGAACGACAGATGTAGGGAGGGATGTAGTTTAATATGGCCGAGGATCGGTTAATAAAAGATCTATCAAAAGGAACGGTGTTGTAGGCCATTGTATATAAATCTGAAGACCAGGAACGAGTATTGTTGGATAGAACTAAGGATTTCAATTGAAGGAGCTTGGAGATGTATGAGGGGCGTTGGGGTTGAATGACTTGGAAGAGGAAGGATATAGCCACTTCAACTCTTCATAAAAACAGGGACAGAGACGTCCCTTGGAATTCCGAAGATGACTTGTACAAAGCAATTTATCGATCATTGGAGATGCCTCCATATACCGTGCAGCAATAATCAAAGTGGGGAAATATTAAGAATGTGACCAGGAGTCTACGGATTTCAAAAGGAAGAAGGTATTGGAGGCAATTCAAACGTTTTAAGGTAGAAAAGATATGGCATAGATATTGGATATATGGTTTTTCCAAGAAAATCTGATTAAAGGTTATTCCACGATTCTTAATGGTGGGATAAAATTTGATGGGATTATTGTGTAGGAAAAGGGTTGGAATGTTGGGAGCAGTTTTAGGTTATTGGAGTCTATTAGGATTGTGTTTAGGGAACACATCAAAATTCATATTTAAATTTAATTTGAATTAAATCAAGAAACCGCAACACAGCTGTTATCTCGAACATACTGCATATATATCTCAGTTGTTATTGTGACGCCGCCATTACTGAGGTGTAGACACTCAAGTAGCATGAGGCATTTTTAAACTTAATATCGAAAAAATGAGAAGCCGGAGACTAAGAAATGTGCTGCAAGAAACGGCACTGAACTAATGATACTGAATAAACATTTTGATTCCATAGAAAGTAAACATTGGAATCTAGAATCATTTCATTGAATTAAGGATTAAGGGTTATTGTCCTTTATATTAACACTCCTAATTGAAAACAAACAAAAAGATTACCTATTTATTCATTAAAAACAATAGACCAATCCAAAGCAGAAATATTTTTAGATGAAAACATGAAAAAATCAAGTGGGTGGAATTTTTTGCCTGTCAGTGTATTTAATGGAATATTGTAACTGACCAAGGAAAAAATATTAGTTCCTTCCTTACATAATACTTACAAACTACTTATTTCCATATTGTTTTGCTATTTTTTCACTAAACAAAATTTTCTGTGAATTATTCGCACCGGCCAACTAGTGGTTCATATTTTTTATCTTTTTTCATTATATTTTTAATTATCCTCCACAACTTTTTCCACAGGTCAAAATTGTTCTTAGTGCAAAGTTGTGGATGGAAAATTAGTATGGCCATCTTAATTAGTGTGCTTTTGTGGTGGTCTGCATCAGTATTAGTTAAGGATGTCATAACACAATGTTTTCATTTTGACTTTTTTTTTTATCTACAGTTCCACAGACCTATGAAGTTGAGAAGCAGAACCAGTTTCTCTTAATATAAAACATCGTCTACTATTTATCTCTTGTTATTTTTATGTTTTGAATTGAATTTCATTGTATTTAATGCATTTATATTTTTTCCAGTTAATAGGAAGAAATGTTGGACAGCTGTTCAGGAAAAAAGTTGCTATTAGAGATCTGCCCAAAATAGATAGTATAAAGCCGAAACTCAATTCAGATTTTCTCTTCAACAATGACGAGAACGGTTTAGTGAAGCTATTCAAAACATAGCGCCAAATACTTTCTGTTCTACTATGTATAGTTCTAGTCTCCTGTGTTGTGATGCTGTTGGTTTTCTCCTCCTCCTTCATATCCTATTGTTTAATTTTAATTGCCCAATTTGATGTGATCAAAATTAACTTATTCTTTAGTTTATAAGATTATTTTTTTACAGAATGAATTTTTACATTCCATCATGAATGTAATAAAAAATCAACAACGATTAATTGTCTCATAGTTCTAAAAAGAAATAAGACTTATAATAAATTTTTAATTTTTGTAGACTTGTAATTATTAATTATTGCTATTTAATTAAATTAAAAACGCTTTTGGTATTACTCCAGAATGCCGAGTCCTTAGTTATAATTTAGCTAACATGGTTAATTCATAATTCAGGATTTCTGGATGCTTTTAATCTACCACATTTCTTCAGACAGAGGGCAGCGATGCTCTTACCACACTAATATATTTTAATTTTTTCAGTTATTTCTAAGGATTTTTTTCTATTTAAAATATAATAGACACTGCTGTTTTCTGTTTAATCAATACTGGCAAGGAAATTCTCGGCGGCTTCATTGAAATTCTCTTCAGTCATTGAAAATAACAGCTGGATTGTTTTTTTAAAATCCATCATATATTTTAATTAGCATTTTCAGTTTTACCCAACACATTTTTTTGGTCATTTTTATATTATCGAGAAAAACTTCATATCACATTCTGTTATTCTCAAATAACAGCTTATAATTCTTGTATTAATCAGTATATCTGTGTGCCACTGGTCAAAATACGGCAATCTGGTGTATACCAATTTAATAATAAAACAAATCCGTGTTACGATTAATGAATTTTTATACAAGACTATCAGAAGAGCGTTTTAAGATAAATGGTGATTTGAGATATACAAAATTATATTTCGGAATGTTGACTGAAAGCCTTATTAGAAGACATTTAAAAGGGAAGGGGTATGTTGAACACAAATATTCAGAAATGTTTCTCTGGATGCTGAAAAATAGTAGAAAAAAGATTTTGAGCTGAGAACATAATTTAATTTTGGTTACAAAAATTTCAGTTGAGTCAAAACTAGAATCATTTTGTTGCAATAATTTACTTGTATTAATTTAACTTTTACTACTTTTTGGCCCTGAGAAGTGTTTCTTGGTTTGTGTGTCAAATTTACTAAAACCATCTCTTCTTTCCACTAACTAAAATGTAAATGTTTATTTTGTATATAATACATGTCTTATATTATTTTTGTTGTAATATAATGATTAAATGGTGTATTAGGCCGGAATAAGAATGAATGTTATTTACTGTAAGTGTATGTATTGTACATTTGTGTTTATTCAGTGTTATTATGTATATATTATTATCATGGGTCATTAAGTAAAATTCTTAAATTAGATATTATAAATATTAAAAGAAAAATGTCAAAATACACAATCTGTTTCCAAGTAATAACTGTTATTAATTATAAAATTTCAGAGAATTAAAAAAAAAAGTTAATTTTTATATGATTCCTTTTTAAAGATTGACAAAGGTTTGCTTGTTTTTATAAATACTAAATAATGTATTCAGAAATTATTGTTTTTTATTGTTACTCTAGAGTAATAAAAAGAAATACTTGGATTGAACTGTAATGCATTGCTTTTCAAGTAAAATTGAAAACAGAATAAATGTATCATCTACCCTTTTATATTGTCCTTTGTAATTATTTTCATAAAATAATTTTTATGTTGTGTAATCCATTATTATATTTCTATTTATTTTGAAGTTGCTTATTTGTTTAAACGTTGTTTTATCACCGATTATGTATATAATCTAAATGAAAAAAAAATTTAAGTTTACATGACTTAAAGAAACCGAGCTTATTTATAAAATTAATTACTATTCTATTTTCAACATTAAAACCCCTTTATTAAACTTGATAAATTCAATTAGTAAATTAATAAAACTACTAACCACTTGATTAAAAAAAAAAAAATTGTCATCTATTTATTTCAGAAAGATTTTTTTAATTTTTACCTGAGGGTTGCTTCAACTTAATAAAAAGACCATTTTAAAATTGTAGGAATTCCACTCAACAGTTTCTGCCACCATAGAGATGATACTTATTGGTTTTGGAACAAACTTTTCATTTCCATTAAGATCATTGCAAATAGTGGATTAATTAATAATCATAGTACTTATAGTAACTTTTCATGAAAGGCTGAAGTGGTGAAGCCTTCATTGATAAATATGCAGTTATTAAGATACCTGATATTATTTTACTCAATAAAAATGATGAGGCGATGAGAATATTATTTTTCCCCTGACAATAATTTGAAGTAAGAAAAATTACAGCTGGTACAAAATAAGTTACATGAAATATGTAAATAAATAAAATATATAAACTAAATTCAATTAAGAAAAGTTGACTAGCTGGCTAAGCTAAGGCCTATAAATGGGTACATAACTGTTTTCTTAAGACCTAAATATTCCTATTATTTAAAGTTTCATTCATATTCAGGGATAATAATATAGAAACATACTCTAAGGTTTTATAATTCATTCATCCCTGATGTGGACACCTCCACACAATTTTCTTATACATTTTCTGCGATAAAGTAAGAAAAACGTCTGCCAAGTAAGGTTACTATCGCTTCCTCACCGTTTTCATTAACTAAAAATTATCTATATTATAAGGTCTAACATTTTTCGTATAAGAATAAAATCTCTGCAAGAAGCCGTTTTCGGAAATTCAGTAATCTCTCAACTTACACAGATTTCATAGTTTTTTTCATTGAATACTAAAATGTGAAAGAGTTCTGCATTTGCAGATTGTATATTTGATGATTTGTAATTTAAAAAAAAATTCCAGTGCAATACTGGCCATTAATATCACTACTGTTTGTGCAAAAGACCGTATGTAACAATTGAATGTTTTACAGGAGTGCCTAAGAAATAAATATTTCTTTATGATTTATTAGTATAACTTCATATTTTATTGCTCTCTGCTATTTAGCATTGAAGCAGACTAAAATGTCACCTTTAGCACAAATAGAATAAAAGTTGGAAATATTTACATATGAACTTTTGCTCTAATAGTAGCGATATATACTAAAAGGATGAATTCAACTTTTTGTTTGTTCGGAATTAACTGTATTATAAAAATATGTGTGAAGTTTACACTACTTTGTTATTTAAGGATGAAATTTAGACCATGACGAGCTAGTAGAACTTCCATAGTAATAAACACGATCACAAATAAGATTTTTTTTTATACAAACCCAGAGTCAAAATTAATTTAAGTTTACTGAAAATTACATGAAATCTAAGTAACGGCAGTAAGTGTCATGCCAGTAACGTTTGGAATCGATCAAACATTACAGTATAAATTAACTTTTTGAATAAAACCTAAAATTTTATAATCCCATAAAAATATTGTGTTAACCTGACTCCCACTCCAGATGATCTTATCAACAAATGATCCAGGTGATTATATCAATTTTAATTATTAAATGGAATTCAATGAAATTGATACCAAATAATTTCTATACTATTCTCCAAGTTTGGGTGAAATCCAATGCGCAGTTTTCAAACTTTAGGTATGTCAAATAATACATTTCATGATCTAAACTCAGAAGTTTTTTTTTTTTGGAGTAGTGGAAGGAATTTGATAAAATTCATACATACTTGATTATTTGTTTAGCAATCCCTCAAAATTTGAGCCAAATCGAAAGGGTGATTTTAGAGATATTTACGTACCAAGGAAAACAGGTTTGTGCATATATAAGAGAAAATAGTGGACAGAATTCAATTAAATTGACACTACATTATTTTCTCACCAATACCTACTTTTTATCCAACGAGTCAAATCGAACAAGCTGTTTCTGAAATATTAGTATATAAAAAAAAATACTTTTGCGCATGCGTAAGCGGAACTGCTGGATAGAATTTGATAAAATTGATATGGGACCATCTAGACACCAACCCGCACAATCCCTGAAAATTTCATGAAAATCGGATGAAAGATACTAGGTGATATGCCGGTCACATCGATTTGATTACAGACACCGAACCAAATTTGATCCTTGATGTCTTAAACCTAAACGGGAGTGGAAATTTTTGATTCTGAGCACATATTTTTTTTGGTAATAATTTACATCATGCCCGCAGCCTTTTGGGGAGGAGTGGGGACGCTTATTCTAGAGGATTGTTTACATTTAGGTTACAGTTATGTTAGGCTATCTCAATCCCCCACCACTTTTTCCTCCATAGGCACCTCAAAACTGTTAATTTTTCATATTTTATTGGCAGTATTTTAGTTTAGAAGCTTAATTTTGTTGTTTAAGTGATATGTTTAGTTTATTAATAGGTAGTTTTTTATTGGATAGTTATACGTTTTAGTGTTTAAAGTGGTAGTTTTGGTTTAATGTTCAGTGATAGGTTTCATCTTCACAGACTCTTATTTTATTAGTGATATTTTGTTTAAAAGTTTAATTATGTTGTTTTAGTAATATATTTAGTTTACTAATAGGTACTTTTTATTTAATAGTTATACATATTAGTGTTTAAAGTGATAATTTTGGTTTCTTCTTCATAGACAAAATCGTGAGTATACTTTAATTCTTTACTTTATTTTATTAATTTTCCTTTTTAATTCAGTGGTAATGAAAGAAAAAGATGGAAATCAAGTTTGTAACTTTGTTATAAGAAGCTAGTGTCTATAGTTTGAGGCTACTAGCTAACACAATTTTTATCTTGAAGTCAGTAGTTTCTAGTATAAAATTGAAATTTGGTTTTCCTTTATAGTTATGATTACTTTCATCATTAAAATATGAGTATAGTTGATGATCCTTAGCTTTATTGAGATCTCTAGTAACTAAAAGTAGTTTTCTTTTATGCCAGAATAAATGATATGATTCTCATCATGACTGATTTTTAGAAATAGATTGTTGTACTGCAAAAGTTCTGAAATGAAATTATTATTTTTCTTGTTGAAATCCTAAAACTATTAATGTTTATTCAAGATGTTTTTTTATCATTTAAGGTCAAGATTATCATTTCAGGATCATCAACTACACTCATATTTTTAATATTGAAAGTAACAATAAGCAATAAGGAAAACCAAATTTCAATATTATACCTGAAATCACTGACTTCAAAATGAAAATTGTATTAGCTAATAGTCTCAACCTATAGAAATATCTTCTATAAACAAGTTTCAAACTTCATTTTAATCTTTTTCCTTCATAACTATTGAATTACAAAGGAAAATCAATATAAGAAAGTAACAAATTAAAGGATTAAGTCATTTTGGAAACCTATATGAGCCCAAATCAACTCAGCAAGAGGTGATTTAAGAGGATTTTACATAAAGAAAAATGAGGGTAATTATTTACAAGTGGTACTCCTCCGGCCATCTTGTAAATAACCACTTGTAAATAATTACCAAAATGAATATTTAATAGTTGACCGTTGCATTATGAAGGAAGAATATGGTCCGGGGTTGCTGTCATAAATAGGCTAAATAGTGGTAAAACTATTTTATTGAAAGCCGACGTTTCGACCCGACTTTGCAGGTCTTCTTCAGGGCTACGGTTACTGACTAGTCCAACTACAGGAACTGAGTACTATAGAACTTTAGTTGGACTAGTCAGTAACCGTAGCCCTGAAGAAAACCTGCAAAGTCGGGTCGAAACGTCGGCTTTCAATAAAATAGTTTTACCACTATTTAGCCTATTTATGACCGCAACCCCGGACCATCTTCTTCCTTTCTTACCAAAATGGGTTCTGTTGATGAAGAACACATAATTAATTGTCACATTATTAAAGATAGTATTCTTAAGGGGTTTATTGTATTTAGACTTAGGATAAATTCAATTGGTAAAAATAATTTCCCTCATATGTCTATTTTTAGCAGTAAATCTGTAAATGTATATGTGCAGCATTTATAAATTGAAATTCCTTTGTAAATAAATAAATATTCTCTGTTTTATCTATTGTTTTTTATATTCCTTTGTTGATTAAAAATGTTTTCTATTTCAAGTTAATTTGGATATTTTTTCAATCAATTGATAATTGATTGTATTTTATCCTTACAGTTTTATGTTTCACTACTAGTTATTTTTACTTGGTATATCTAGTGTGATAAAATTGAAAATATATTATAGCCAACAACCTCTAATTTCCCAAAAAAGTATTGAAAAATAAATAAAACTAGGGAAAGCTTATATTCTGGACTAATGGAAAATTCAGGTGTGACAAACATTATTACAATTTATCATATTATGATTATTAATCCATTTCAATGATAGCAGGTGTATTGATATTGGTAAATAGAAATTTTCAAATTATACAAAAACTAAGTTATACCACTCTGAAACAAATACTCTCCTACCACCAGGCTTAGAAGTAAAATGAACAACTTTTTCTATTTTAGATGCAATATGCAATATCTACATTACGGTAAGAGGTAAACCATTTCATAAAAAATATTTTATATCAATGATCAGAAATGAATCTGTTGATCGAGGATCAAATTTTGAACTATTTAAATTTGTAATAATAGTGGATTTATAATAGTTGGTGTTGTCCAAAATCAGTCTTGGTCATGCACTTTGCAAGATCAAGACCGGAAAAAAAAATCCCTTTTATGAAGAAAAATTAAGGTAAAATAGTTACTAAAACTTGAAAAATTGAGTTGCCATATGTAAAGAAGTGGTATAACCAATATCATTTGGAATTTAACTCTCAATTTTTCATTCAGGCTTAGTTAGGTTTTCCGTATCTAAAAAATTACAGTAATTTCAAACATCTCATTTCTCTATTCACTAGTTTCATTTTGCTGTGGAGCACAAAATATACTTCAGAGAATTCGT